CAAAGAGGCGCCTGCTCCTATTCAAAATTGTCCCCATGGGTTTAGAAAATAAATGACACAATCCGGCTTTCACTCTCTAAATTTAAAGTTTCAGGGGTTTCTTGCCCAAGTGGACGGAGGACTCCACTGCGTGGGCTCCCTCTGCACTTGGCAGTGTTCAGTTCTGCAAGTCTAGAAGGTTCTGCGTGCGTGCAGACGCCACATGGGTAGGCAGCGATCCGGAGGGGAGTCGCCCAGAGCTTTTTTGCCCCATCTATTTGTAGAACTTTGGGCGAGGGTTATTTCTGGACCGATTTGCCCCGAATACAGCAAAATTCGTCTGCCGTCGCTCACTTGTATGCCCAATGCAACCCGTGTCGCAGTCAGATTAAAACACGCAGGTGCCACGGGAATGGAGTGGGGGGCGGGGTCGGGAAGGCACAGTCGCGCGTGGGAGACTCGGGTGGAACAGCAGCTGCAAACTTCACTTCCCGACAAAACAGAAAAGCACCTGGATGTCCTCTCCGGGACGGAGGGTAAGGAAAGGCCGGGGGCGTGGGGGTCGCGACCAGCCACCGTCATACTGACTTTGGAGGTCCAGCTCACGCGGAACTGCACCACGACCCAAAGAAACACGTTTTCTTCCCCCACCCCACCCCATCCCCCCCGGAGCCGAAAGCGGATCCCGATCTTCAAGGCGGAAAAACCAAGTCCTCCGGAGCGGCGGGGGGCAGGGAGGCTGGGGCATTCCGGGCCGAGGGGGTCGCACCCCACCACCCTCCAACGCGGCGAGCTGGCCCGGCCCGCGCCACCCCCTCCCCCGCCGCTTCCTCTCGCTCTCCCAGCCCCTTCCCCCACGTGTGGGTGACGTCAAAATTCCGCGAAAAAGCCGCGTGGTGGCTCCCCGGGCGGAGGCGCGATTCCGGGGGCGCCCGCGGCGAGGTGGGGGTAGTGGGGGGAAGCAGTTCAGGGGGTCCGAAGTGACCGCTGTGCCACGAGCCAGGCGCGCCCCCCATCCCGGATCGCCTCGGAAACTCACTTTTCTAAAGTAAATGCATTTCCAGAGCTATTTTCGGCCGCGTGAGGCGTGTCCTGAGGCTGAATCAGACAGGAAGAGGGGGGAAGTTCGGGTCTTTTTCATTTTTTTCTCCCAAGGGAGGGGAGCGAGCGGCGAGGTGGGTGAACTGACGGCGGGCGCCGGCCTCCGGAACCCACGCGGGCCGCTTCTGCAGTCTCGGGGCTGCAGCCCCTGGCCCAGCTGCAAGCCTTCGGGCCGGGCGGCCTCTGTCCCACGAGGCCCGCTGCGCCCGGGCGCGTCGGAGGGATCCGGAGCGTGCTCGCCCCGGGGATGGCACCGCCAGGCCGCGGGGGCTTCGAGTGGCCGCCCTGCCCGCCCGGCTCCAGGGTCCCCCACGTTTCCCCCTTCTTCCTGCCCCCACTGCTACGCCCTGCTTTTCCTCCCTCCGCGTAACGGCTCCATTTCTCTTTCCGTGCCTGCGTGGGACTTAACTGTTCCTGAATAGCCTTGGGGCTTGGATGGTGGGACCCGCATCCTTGACCTGGAGAAACGCTGAAGCAACTCTCCTTGTGGCCCAGTGCGGCGGCGGGGCTCGAACCCACGAGGCTCGCCCGCTTTGCGCTGGGCGCGGGGATCACCTGGCCGGCGGGCATCCGCCAGGTGAGCTCAGGAGGATATGTGCACGTTGCAGGTTCTTGCAAAATGTGCTGCACCCTGCACCTAAAGGTTTTTGTGTGCTTTCCAACCGAAACTCCAAAACGCAAGCCGTGGCGGGGCGGGGGACGGGGAGCCGGCCCGCGATCGAATAAAAGTCCCCTAAAACTTGTGTTCTCTCAAGTTTATCGATGATCCTACAAAGAGTCTGACACCCTCCCCACCTCCTTTAAGGGGGCGAAAAATACGGAAGAACCATCGTTTTTATTCCCCCTCAGTGACTTCCAAGGCACAGAACCCAGGCGCGTGCGCTTTTTTCCAAATCCAAATCTACACTCAAAAAGAAACCGCGCCTTTGCCCAGCAAGGCAACGTGCTTTTTCCCGCGTGCTAGGTGGAGGGCTCGAGAACAGATGAGGTTTGAACACGTGGTTGGAGTGGCCACCGAAGGGGAAATCGCAAGTTTCCAGGGCAAGCGCTCCGGGGTACTGGCTGCCAGTCCCTGCACCCTCACGCCCCACCCCACGTGCTGGGGACCGCAAAGCGACCGAGGCCCGGGTGGGACGGATTCTTTGCGAAGTTCACGGTCGCGAACTGGCCGAAATAGGAAGTTAATGAGGGAAGGAGGGGCACTGCAAGCGGCGATCCGGCCACGAGGGAAGCTGCGAATCTCCCGAACCTGCGAGTCTCCATGAATGGAGAGAGGGCCGCGGGGGAGGGGGCACCCGCTGGGACCCTCTTGGCCCCTCCTCTCCGCCGGCCCCTTGCGCCCCCCACCCCTCCCCCTGGAATGTGCCTGTAAAGCAAGACGGAGGGTGGGGGAAGGGGAGCGGCAAGTGGGGAGGGGGGACGGCTGGTTCCCCAGACTGTGGAGGACCCGCCGCCACCCAGGCTCCGTCCTCCGGGTGGGCCCGACCCGCGCGGGCGACCACCCTCCTCTTCCCCGCCCCCGCCGTCCGACTGCCAGAGCCGAGCAGGGGTGGGGGGGGATGCTTGCTGGGGCGCTCGCTTGGAAAGGGGCCTTTCTCGGGGAGTAGCTGGGAGCGCTCCCCAGCCCCTGTGTCTGCCAGTCGGGGGAGGCGCACGGTGCAAAACACCTCTCCCTCTTGCCCCCCACCCCGGATAGTTTTGATCCACTCAAAGGTGGCAGAGGGGAAGTCTGAGTAATCCCTTTATGGGGTCTTAAAATATAAGTGCGCGAGCGTCTTTCTCCGCAGTGACTCAAAAGCGCCAGCCGGGCAGTTCAGGTTGACTAAAATCAATAGGTGGGGCGACGCGGCCCGACCCGAGTGTCATCCACCGCTCGAGGCTGTTTCAGTTTGAGTTGGTGACTTGGGTGGTGCAGGGAGCTCTTTTTCTTCCCCAAAGCTAATGGCTTCCACTGCAATTAGACATTTTCTCCGCCCGCCCCCTCGCCTCCCCTTTCTTTCCTTACAGGAGACGGGAACCCCATTCCCGCGGCCGGGGATCAGATCCGAGGCGCCCGAACCCCCCCTCCTCGGCCTCCGCCCGCTCCGGTCCCCGCTCGCCCTCCGCCTTCCCCTGGCTTCCTTTTGATGTAGCGGGGAAAGCGTCCCACAAAAAAAAAAAAAAAAAGTAATCTGCCCGGTAACAATCAGCGCGCAGTAGCAGGAGCCCCAGAGCTATTGGCTATGCAAATAGAGGGAGGGGAGACGGCGCCCCAAACTTACTCACCCTTTTAAAGCGATATCCCCCTCCCCACCGCCACCCCTTCCGTCCCACCCTCGGGTGAGGGGGCTGGCTCCGGGGCCCGAGCGCAGCGCGCGCACACCTCTGGTCCCTTCGCTCCCCCTCCTCCGCCTCGCTGGGAACCCAGTGAACACTCAGCCGGCCCGGCCTCCCCCGCCACGCTCCCCGCGGCTCCCAGCGCCCCTGCTCGGGGGGCCCCCTTTCTCGGAGCGGCGGGCGCAGCAGCAGCAGCAGCCTCGCCTGTGCCCGGCTCGCCCCGACCCACGCCACGCTCGCTGCACGTGCCAGCTGAGCCCAGGCGCTGGGGGCGCCCAGCGCGCACCCCTTCCTCCCCACGTGAAAAGCACCCAAAGGCAGGCTTGCGGCGGGGGGTGGCAGGAGGAAGCAGGCGAGGAAGCGCCACTGAGTCCCCGGGAGAAACAGCCTTGACCCCAGGATGCGTCCGAGCACGTGTCGGGGCTGACCGCGCTGGCAGCGTCTCCATCGGGAGAAAGCCCTGGCTGGCTAGAGAGGCGCGAACCCAGAGGGGTCGCTGAGGATGCAGGCGAAGGACCCCGCGCGGGGTGGCCGCCAGGGACCTCGGGGTGCGAGGGGGCAGGGAAGAGGTGGTGGTACCGGCGGAGGGGGGGGAGCCTGGGCTCGTCCCTTCCTCGCCCCCTCCCCCCACCCCGGGCTGTTTCCTAGAAAGCGGTATCAACGCGGCCACGCTCGCGCAGACACCTCGGGCGGCTTGTCAGCAGATGCAGGGGCGCGGAAGCGGGTTTTTCCTGCGTGGCCACTGGCCGCCCCGGAACCGCTGGCGGCCCTGCCCAGGGCCTCCCGCACCCGCAGCGCGGCGCCGCGTGGCCGGTGGCGCCTGTAGCGCCCCCGTGAGCATCCCGCTTTCCGTCTGAGGGTCACACTCCATCCAACCAGAAAAGCGGGGGCCCCCCTCCCTCCTAACACCCACTCTTTCCTCCTCTTCATCTCCACCAACAGCTGCAAGGGGGCAGCAGTGGCGGGTGTTGGGGAGGGGGTGGCGGGCGACAACGTTTTTTTTTTTTTTTCTAGTCCCTTCCTCTCCGCTTTTGCAACAGCTAACGAGGTTATCAGGAGCTTAAACCTCCAAGGCACAACCTTCACCTCTGGGGGTTGGTTCCTAAAGCCACCCTCCCCCTCCCCCTTCATTGTCACCTAAAGGAGCTTTCTAAATGGAGCTTACCCACCCTCCACCATCTGCCCTCCTCCGTTCCTGGGGCTGGAATACGTGGGCAGAAATATTAGCATGCATTTCCAATAAAGCACTATTGGAGGGTCGTGTTTGGGGTGCGATACATCCACAGGAGTGTGCAAAATCAGAGCGAGTGAATAAGGGAGGGGGGCAGGATTTTGTGGGTTCCCCTCTCCGGGGCCCCTGGCATGCGGAGCTGGATGGAGCGAGGGCCTCGGAGCTCGGCGGAGAGGGGTGGGGGGAGCGCGGGGGCCGCGTTTGAAGTTGGGTCGGGCCAGCTGCCGTTCTCCTTAATAACAAGAGGGGAAGGGAGGAGGGAGAGGTTGAAAGGAGGAGAGGAGGGGCTGGAGGGGAGGGAAGGGGAGGAGGAACCCGAGAGAGCGAGGAGTGGGAGGAGAACCAACTGGCCAGCCAGCTTGCGTCACTGCCTCAGAGGCGAAGGGAGCGAGCTGGGGAGAGCCAGACAAGTTTGAGGGGAGGACGGGCGCGAGGCAGGCGGCCCCCGAGGCTCCGCTCGCCCACCGCCCAGCCCTTCCTCTCAGCTCCTCTGCTTCTCCCGCTGCCCTTGCCTTCTCCCCACACCCCCACACCCCGAAAATCTCCTGTTTAGCCAAAGGAAGGAGGTAAAGGGAACTTTTCCCCCCTCCCCCTCAAAAAAAAAAAAAAAAAAACTTTTTCAGTCCGGAGAAAGTAGGAGAAGCAGGGGTCTCCCGGCTGGCCATGGAGCTGCTGTGCTGCGAGGTGGACCCGGTCCGCAGGGCCGTGCCGGACCGCAACCTGCTGGACGACCGCGTTCTGCAGAACTTGCTCACCATCGAGGAACGCTACCTTCCCCAATGCTCCTACTTCAAGTGCGTGCAAAAGGACATTCAGCCCTACATGCGTAGGATGGTGGCCACCTGGATGCTGGAGGTAGGTCTGCAGACGCCCCCCCCCCACTCCCACCCCGCTGGGATCCTAAGTCTGGAAGGGAGGCCACCCTCGCGCTGGCCTCCCGGCTCCGCGGCGCGAGGTCGTCCCGCGCCCCCGAGCGAGACGCGTGGCCGCATTTCTGTTCCTGTCCGGATGGGGGGAGGAGGAGGGGAGAGGAAGAAAATCTGGGAAAAATGAGGCTGTCTTGGGGCCGGGAGTTGGGGGGGGAAGCATCCTGCACGCATGTGGCTTCCTCGGCGCCCCCCCCACCTCCCCGCGCGCCTCCGCCACCGATCACTGGGGAAGCCGCGGCGAAGAAGGGGATAGGAGTTTGAAATAGGGGGCTCCGGGTCCAAAAGGAGCCCCTCGTGCCGCCCCCCCTCCCAAGCCAGAGCACGTTCCTCAGGTCCCCGCGTGTGGTCGCGACTCCGCGTTGGCACTTCAGGGGGGAGGGGGAGGGAAAGGGGGGAGAGGGAGGAGGAGAGAAACGGGGAATTCGGCAGCCCCGGAAGTCGCCTGGAAGAAACGCGTGTTTTAGGGGGCCCCCCAAAGAACCCCCGCTTCAGCCCGGCTGCAGCTCTGCGCCCTTGCGAGCCCCGTGCCCACGTATGCAGGGCTTCGGACCTGCCGTGGTTTCGCCATGTTGCTTTCCAAAAGACTCGGGCTGCTCAGCCCGGGGAGCAGTCGCCCGCACCCCCCCCCACGCACCCCGAGACCTCGACTGCCCCTCTCGGTCGCGCCCCGTCCCCCACGACTCCCGTGCCGACCCCCGGCTAGTGAGGGTTACTCACGGTTTGGCTTCTCGGCGGACTCCGTGAGGAGAGCTGGGTGGGGTAGGGACGGGTGGGGGGAGGAGGTGTGTGTCACGGGGAACGCGGGGCACCGTTCAGGGGGCGGCCGGAGCCCCCACCCCGGCCCTCCGTGACGACCCCCGGCCGCGCTCGGTGGTCTCCGCGTCCCCGTCGCCGCCTGTGGGCCGCGCGGCCGGACGCTCGCCGCGGCTCGCACCCGCCTCAAGTTTCCCCTCAGGATCCGGAGCCCCGGGGGTCGAGATGCAGTCCTTTCTGGCCCCCCAAACCTCCGTTTCGGAAAGTCGGGATCCTCTCGGGGGTTTTCACGGCCAAAGGATCCTCCTGGGACTTTTCCTCGATTTTTAATTATTTTTTGAAAGCGGCCCCCCCCCCCCCCGCCTTGCTCCGACTGCCGGCGCCGCGGCCGCCTCCACCCTCCCCCTCTCCGCCGCTCCCCGCCCAGCCCCCCGTCCGCGGCCCCTGCGCCGCGGGGAGCCCCCCGCACATTTTTTTTAATTGTCGGAAAGGATAGAGCAGGGTCCGGGCGTCCGAATGGGACCAAGAAGTGGCCCCCCGGAGCCTCCGGAATATTTTTATTGATTTTTTGAAAAGATGACGAAATCCAAAAAAGAAGAGTGTGAGTTTAGAGTGCGCGGAGAAGCGAGCGGCCAAGAACGTCCGCCCGCGCGCGCCCGCGCCTCCCCTCCCGGCCCCCCACTCTCCACACGCCGCCCCTGCGCCCCGAAAACAGAACTTGCAGAAATTTCCAGACAAGAAGCTTTTCCATCCTCCTCTCTGTCTCTCTCTCTCTCTGCTCGGTGTCCCCCACCCCTCCCGTTGCCCCACTAGGTCTGCGAGGAGCAGAAGTGCGAGGAGGAGGTCTTCCCGCTGGCCATGAACTACCTGGACCGCTTCCTGGCCGGAGTGCCCACTCCCAAGACCCACCTGCAGCTGCTGGGCGCCGTCTGCATGTTCCTGGCCTCGAAGCTCAAGGAGACCATCCCGCTGACGGCGGAGAAGCTGTGCATTTACACCGACAACTCCATCAAGCCCCAGGAACTCCTGGTAAAGCCCGCTCGCCCCTCGGGGGGCTCGGCCCCGCGCCTCCCGCCCCCACCGCACCCCCACGCCACGTCCCCCCTCGAAGCCAGCACCGGGCCACGTGCAGCACCCTCGGCGGCAGGATGGCCACACCCGTTTTCTGCGCTCCTACTGTGTGCCCCGCGCGCGCGCGCACTCACAGCCCTCAGGTCCTTGCTGTGGGTGAGAGTGCCCCAGTGGTGCTGTGCGTGTGCGCGCAAGGGCGTAAGCACCCCGCTCGTGTGGGGATCACACTTTTTCCAACATCACCAACATGGAGGCCCCGCTCCCAGAGAGCCACGTGTGAGATGGAGTTCAAGAGCCATGTCTTCTAGAATTGGAGACACCCTTAGGACCGGCGCAGCCAGAGCTGGCTTGGCCTTGCAGGATCCCCGAGAACTCTGAGTCCCCTTCTCCACGCTCGTGGGAATGGGGGGTGTCCTGCTCTGACGGGGGATTGTTTTTCTGATATTTTATTTTATTTTTTGTGCCCCCCCCACACACTTCCCACCCGAGTCGGCCATGTTGCAGCAGCCCTGGAATGGCGGAGGCGGCTCCTGAGGCCCAGCTCCAGGGGCTTGCACACCTTTCCCTCCCCCACCGCCCGCCTCCTCCCTGGCGGGGGTCCCCAGGCCTCCTCCAGGCTCTGGCAGCAGGCTCGCCGGAGCCCTTTGTGAGCCCCTGGCCTTCCCGGGGCTGTGCTGACACCTAGCGGCAGACATGCGCGGGGCCGGGAGGGGGAGGAACGGCCGGCCGAGGGGGAATGACTTCACCTTTGAATCGCAGCCAGGCCGAGCTGCTTCTGCTCGGGTCCGGAGGCCCAGAAAGGTGCTTTCTGCTGGGAGCGCTGCTTGCTTCCCTCGCGGGGGCCACGCCAGCGCTTTGCACTCGCATTCCGCTCTGAGGAGCCAGGCGGGGGGGATTGCAAAGCCATCTTTGGGGTGCCCCCAAACCTTTGCAAAAATAAATGAATAAATCAATAAAATTTAAAAACCCAGGCAGATATTCAAGCTGGTCAAGAAAAACAAATTTTTCCTTTTTTGCATACATTAAAAAAAGATTTATTACTCATCCTTACTGGAAAGGCAGATTTACAGAGAGAAGGAGAGACGGATCTTCCATTGCTGCTTCACGCCCCAAGTGGCCGCGATGGCCGGAGTTGAGTTGATCAGGAGCCAGGAGCCTTCTCCAGGTCTCCCTCGTGCAGGGTTCTAAGACTTGGGACCATCGTCCACTGTTTTCCCAAGCCACATGCAGGGAAGTGGCTGGGAAGTGAAGAGATGGGGACATGAACCAGCACCCACGTGGAATCCCAACGCTTGCAGGCGAAGGATCAGCCAGTTGAACTATCACTCCAACCCCCCCAGAAAAAAAAATTTTTTTTGAACACAGTTCCCTATGGGAATCTCCATAATACAGACACGGGGCTGGAGACTGGGTCATTCCGTGTCCCTGGGCAAACTTCCTCCCTGGACCCCAGCACCTTGGAACCCCCATCTCCACCCGGCCTGACCCTTTGGCCGTCACCGAGGGGTGAGACAGCAATGGTCCCTGCCCCAGATGTGTCAAAGGGGAAGGTTTTAAAGAGCACCAAGAAAAAATGGCCCTCTGGGCACCAAGTAGCAGCAAGCTAACGGGTTGCTGAGGAGTCAAGCCAAGGAACCCTATTTTGAGTTTCATCTGCCTGCATTTTTTTTTTTTTTTACCCCAACGAGGCTAAAAAAGACAATGAGTCCAGCAATAGAACCATATACAATAAATTACTTCCAAAGGGCCGCGGCGACCTTGGCCGCACAGCTCACTTTCTGGATTGGCAGGAGGCCACGGTGGAGGTCAGGGCTGGCTGGGGTAGGGGAGCCGGAGCGGAGAGAGTGCGATCTTGGCACAGGCTACCCGGGCCTGCCGGCTTGTTTTCCGGGGAGCTACGGGGCGCCCCTGCAGGACTTCAAGGCTGGGGAAGTGGCGGGGAGGCGGGAAGCACACGGCACATGGCAGCCAGCAGACATCACACTCAGCCCCTCTTCCTGCCCCTCCTCTTCCTCTCCTCCAGGAGTGGGAACTGGTGGTGCTGGGCAAATTGAAGTGGAACCTGGCGGCCGTCACCCCCCATGACTTCATTGAGCACATCTTGCGCAAGCTGCCCCAGCAGAGGGAAAAGCTGTCCCTGATCCGCAAGCACGCTCAGACCTTCATTGCGCTCTGCGCCACCGGTGAGGCTTCCTGGGGGACGGGAGCAGGGTGCAGGACCGGGGGTCCGAGGGCGCAGGCTCTCCCACCTTCAGCCACAGCTCTGTTCTTTCTCTCTGCCGCACTCATAAACGGTTTATGGGGACAGGTGTGGTAAGGGAGGGGGGAGAAATGAGTGCCAGGTGGAGTATTCTTTATGATGTCGAAAGTACCCTTTGAAGATTATATATGCTGCTCCCGAAGTGGGGTTTAAATCTTTAATCTCCCGGGGAGGAAAAGGGTGGTCTCGGAGATAAGAACAAGAGGAAATGGGCTGGGGAGGTAGAGGGGAGGGGACACCAATACAGGTGAGAGCAAGGAACAACATCACGGTGAATTTGCAGCTGGCCAGGTAAGTGGTGGGCAAGGCCAAAGGAATTTCCCCCTCCTCTCGGTAAGGTATCTGTGGCCTGGGGCACCTGCTTGTCTCTGGAGGCAAGGAAGAGAAGATCCCATTTTCTGAGTTCTGGGTTCTGCAGCCCTCACCGCCCCACAGTGGCCATGTTTGATGTGGGCCGTAGCCCTGGCCTTGGCCATGGCAACCAGGGAGATTCCGCAGCAAATCTGGCATGTTGGCTTTGCCTTTTCCAAAGCAACTGGAGAGATGGATTCCGTGTTGCCCCATTAGCCTGGACCTGGCCATGTGTTGTAGAGACCTGGGGATCACAAGTGTGGGTTGGCAAGGTCAGGAGCCCAGGTGGACAGGCCTTGGGAGGGGTGGTCGCCCGCCCTTTGCAGGAGCAGCTGGATCTTCTCCGAGCAGCAGGTCGCAGAGGTCACGGACTTCAACCTTGTAGCTATTCTTAAGGTCAGGGCTTCTCCCTGGATGACCTAGGACAGCCTGTTGAACCCCTGTGAACTCCAGCTGCACTGCCCCCCACATGCACAGGCCTCCCCCGTCCCTGGGAATCCCTCAGGTCAGGGAAACTGTTGCGAAGGAGATCTTGATGTTTCTGCTCCCTCAGGAGCGACCCCTCCTCCTGGCTGCTTCTCATTGCTGCCCGGGTGGGAGCCACCCTGCACCCCTCTGCTGGTGCACTCCCACTGCCTGGGGCCAAGAGGCATCCTTTGGCCTCTTTCCTTGTCCAGCTGCCTTACTGGGCCAACTAGAGGTCGGGGCCCTCGGTGACCCATCATTTTGTCTCCCAGGCTGGGCTGGGAGAGGGGTCAGCCCTCCCCGTGAGCTCCCCCACCTGCCCAGCTGTGGACAACTCGTTCTTACTTTGACCTTGTCCACTGACAGGGTCCTTCCGGGGTCCCCGGGGGTGAGGATGGGAAGGGGTGCTGAGTGGAATTTATCAGGCCTGGGCAGGTCCTCGGGCTCTGTGTGGGCCCATTCTCTGAGGCTGAGGCTCCCATCCCCCACCCATGGCCTTCTTGCCCAGATCCTTGGCGCGGCTGCCAACTCTGGGGCCGGAATTGGGAGTTTGAGATTCGGAGACAGGGACAGAGCCCAAAGGGAGGCCAGGGCAGGCAGACGGGCACTGCCTGGTGTGGGCGCTGTGCAGGGGGGCGCGAAGCGAGGGTCTTCCTTCTGCGGCCAGGGTGGTGGGAGCTGGGCGTGACTCTCCTGCATGAAGCAGGTGTGGCACGTAGAACATGGCCTAGTACACTCGCCTGCCTCCACACACCCCTGCCACAGCCGCTGCCCTAGAACAAAAGCATTCTTGAGCTTGGAGCCCACCTCGCGGGGTAGGGGCGGTGGGGAAGGGTCCCCACGGGACTGAGTGGCCGGTGTGTGGGCCAAGAGGGTTGTGAAAGAGCTGGCATTGGTTGTGCAGGGGGTGGGGACCGGGTGTGTGTGTGAAAGGGGAAGAGGACGGGGAGGGGCCCATGGATCCTAGAGGGGTAGCCAGAGGTATGCTGTGTCCCCCCCTCCACCAACTGCATCTCCAGCGGTGGTTTGAGGCGGGGGGCTTGAGCTGCCCAGCACATCACCCTCCCGGCTTGGTCCTGGGGAGCACAAGCATCCCTCCTCCCGTGCTTTGGGTGGTGGGAGGTTAGCCCCCACCGCTGGTTGCAGCTCAGCTTGTGATTGGGAGCCCCTAGATCTGCTAGGGGGAGGACTCAGGCAGTGACATTGGCTTTGGACTGGACATGGGGGTGGGCCTTTCCCTCCCTCCCCAGCCCCCCTGCCTCTCCCTGCATCCCTATGCTTTTTTGCATCAGCGACTCCCTTGGGCTGCAGCACCCTCAGGCCCCTCTGGAGGCCCGAGTTAATCCTCCATGCTTCACTGTCTGTAGTGGTCCCCAGGTCAGAGCGAGGCTGTGGGTGTCCGGAGGGGCTGGGACCCTTGCCCTTGAGCCAGGATGGGGGATCCACCATGGTGTCAGCAGGAGGGGCGTGTTTCCCTCCGTGAGCCCCCCAGGCAGCATCACTGGCATCGTACAGGAACAGGCCGCCTCCACTGCGCCCACCCAGGCCCGTGTGGCTGAGTTGGCTCAGCATGCCCAGGCCCTCCTGTCATGGCGTCACTCTGGTTCCAGTCCTTGCACTTGGGTGGGGCACCACTGACCTGGGCTTCCCCCTCCTCTCCAGCCAAAAAGCAAGCAGCTCGCTTGTTCCCCCTAGTGGCGAAGAAGAGCAGCGCTGCCCTGCTTGTAGCAGGCGGCCTTGGGATCCACACAGCTCTGTTTTTGGGACCCAGGTTTAGGGCACCAGGCCGTGCAGTGGGCGCGGAAGGGCAGACGCTGAGGTGATGAACGTGAGGGCACTTCTCCCTGCCCCCTTGCCCAGATCCACCTGTGAGACCTGTTTGAAGCTCTTCAGATCAGCAGTTCGCGGGCCACGGGCACCTGCATGACCAGGGCTGTGGACGCCTGCTGCAGCCGTCTCGGACACTCCTCTGCAGAGCTGGGATTGTCCTGCTCTCTCCTCGGCCTGGTGGGCGCTGTTCTGGGTAGTGAGCCACCGGCACCTGTTGGGGTGGCCAACCCTTGCCTGTTTGCTCACTGGGTGGTCTGCAGGCCACTCCTGCTCCCCTTGGGCCTCACGTTCCCCTGTTGACAATACAGCCTCCGGAGGCTTCGGGGACTTGAAGAGGTCGCTTCGGGCGTGCAGACACACCTGGATAATGAGGGAGCAGTGGCTCTCTGCCTGTGGCTTGGGGGTGCTGGGGCACCCTTCTCACTCCTGTAGGTGCTGGACACAGTGGCCACAGCTAGTCTGGAGGGGAGATCTGTGAGGAAGAGGAAAGTAGCAGATGGCAATTTTTTTTTTTTGCATTTAAAAAATAAGGTTTGTTTATTTGATAAGATGGAGTTAGAGATCTTCCATACACTGGTTCACTCCCCAGATGGACACAAAGGCCAGGGTTGAGCCGATCTGAAGCCAGGAGCTTCTTGCGGGTCTTACACAGGTTCAGGGGCCCCAGGTCCTTGGTCATCCTCCACTGCCTTCTCAGGCACACCATAAGGAATTGGACCAGAGGTGGAATAGCCAGGACCTGAACCGTGGCTTACCCTGCTATGCCAGCCATAGCATTACCCAGGCTCTGCGCTCTTATGTGCATTTTCTTAGTGAAACCTCTGATAGTGTGAAGTGGGTGCACTGAGCCAAGTCCCTCGTGTCACAGACACACAACATCACCTGTAACTCGGTAGGACGCATTGTGTCAAATGCAGTGGATCTCGGCCTTCAGGAGAATGGTGCCTTTCCTGGGGTACTGGCAGGGTTGTACATTTTCAGGGGAGTCACCTGGGCTGTCTGACACAGGGAGGAACCCTCTCTGCAGTGATTGGATTGGACTAGGTCCCTGGAAGGGCATTCCCTCTGCCCTGGCACAGCCCACCTCCACCTGCGGGGCTTCCCATGTGCTGAAAGTAACAGTAGGCTTTGCTGGCAGTGAGACCCCAGAGATGGACATGGGTAGGGTGTGATTCCTGGTCCAAGGCCTGGGAGGGGGAGTGTCAGGGATCCTTGCTGAGCCCCTCTCTGGCCAGATGCTCCCAGGCCCGGTCTATGTGGGCCCAGGGCCATGGGCTGGCTGCCTGCCCCTCTGATGACTGTCACAGGAGGGGGAGCTTTCTCCCGTGACCCATGTGGAAAAGACCTACAGCAGAGCAGGAGGCAGGGGGGCCTGGCTTGGTCACACCATCCCTGGGGCTGGAGGAGACCTAGGAGGAGTTAGGGATAGTTGGAGCAGGCTTTGGGTGCCACCCATGCAGCTCTCTAGAATGGACAAAGTGGAGAAAGCTAAGGGGACAAGACAGAAGGACAGATGGCCAGGCTGGCTGTGTGGCCCTGGGATTCAGAGAAGTGAAAGGGAAGCCGGGTGCAGGTGCATGGTCCGTGATGCCCAGCGCCATCTCAGAATGCCACCCCATGGCGCTGGGCTCACCCTCAATGAAGAGTGGCTTTCTTGGGGTGCCTGTACGGGACAGAGCATTGGGGGGGGGTGCTAAGGCGCGCTGGTTTGACGCCTGACCAGTGGTTGCCTCTATTCTGTCGTCCTCCCCCTTCCGTGTATTTTGTGCCTTGTTAAGCAGCGTAGAGCCATTGGAGTCATACTGAGCTAGAGGGAATCTGTGGGATTTGCTGCTCCCCCACCCACACCGACACCATGCCCCAGGAGACTGCGTGACAAGCGGGGACGTAGGGCCACCCAAACTCCTGGGTTTCTCCTGTGCAGCCTTAGCTGGTGCCCGCGTGCACTTTCTGCGGTCGCCGTGTGAGTTGAGCAGGCTGTGGGTGCTCATGAGCAGCAGTTGCGGGAGGAAGCTGTGGCCGTGGCTGGCTCCTCCTCACAGCGCGAGCGGAGCCTGCTCGTGGCTCCCCAGCACCTTCGAATGGAGAGCCGTGTGGTCTCCCAGGCTGAGCCCCGGGCCTCTGTGGCAATCAGAGAAATAGGAGTGGTGTGAGGAGGGTGCATTGACGCATCTTGATGCCTGTCCGAGGTCCTGCTCTCGGTGTCCTGAGGCTCCGTGACATTGGGACACCAAGTGCCTCCTTCATTTCCTTTGTGAAGTGGAAACCCATTGAGGGGCCGTGTCGGTCCCTGAGAGCTCGTTGTACCTGAGTTCCTGGGCAGCCCGCACCTGCACCCTGTACACTCTGGGTTTCCCCCACCTGCTTGTCGCATGGAGCGTCTCACTTACCCTGGTGTCAGACTTCTGTCCATCTTAGTCGCAGAGCAGGTCACCCTGCTATTCATCCTCACCCCACCCCTGGCGCGGGGGCCAAGCCCGGGGCAGGACATGTGCCTACCTCTCTCAGGGTTCCCATGGCACTTAGAGCCCTCTCTGCATCCATTGCGTAACCCAGATCAGCACTCCTCCTGCCCTGCCACAGCTTTCCTCATTTTCTCTCCATTTTTTCCCCCAAAAGATGTATTTTTATTGGAAAGGCAGGTTTACAGTGAGAAGGAGAGACGGAAAGATCTTTCATTAACTGGTTCACTCTCTAAATGGCCACATTTGCCATAGCTGAGCCAATCCGAAGCCAGGAGCTTTCTCCAGGTCTCCTACACGGATGCAGGGTCCCAAGGCTTTAGACCATCCTTTGCTGCTTTCCCAGGCCACAGCAGGGAGCTGGATGGGAAGTGGACATGAACCAGCACCCATATGGGATGCTGGTGCTGCAAGGCAGAGGACCAGCCAACCGAGCCATCACACCAGCATCTTCCTCATTTCCATTTGCAGTGGCCACAGCGAATGACAGATAATGAAAGGGCTTCTTGGGAAGGAAGCACTGGGAGGAGAGCAAGCATGCTCTTGGGGCAGAGGCCAACGGGGGCAGCTGCTCCGTTCCCGCTGTCCTAGGACCAAGTTCTTTCTGGATCCCATACCCTGACCTTCTGCCTCTCCTTTGCAGACTTCAAGTTCGCCATGTATCCGCCGTCGATGATTGCAACTGGAAGCGTGGGGGCAGCCATCTGCGGGCTCCAGCAGGACGAAGAAGTGAGCTCGCTCACTTGCGATGCCCTGACCGAGCTCCTGGCCAAGATCACCAACACAGACGTGGTAGGTGGCAGCCAGCGTCTGCGACTAGACCAGATGTCCACTCCCAGCTCGAGGGGGTTGGGGTACATGATCAGCAGCTCAACTTGGACATCGTGCGCGTGTGTGGTGTGTGTGTGTGTGTGTGTGTGTGTGTGTGTGTGTGAGTGAGACAAGCTCAACATCCAAGGTGGCACCAAATACAGCAGATGGGGTTCTCTTAAGGGTGACTGAGTCTGTCTGTCGGAAAACTCAGCAGGGAGGTACAGGGTGGTGGTGGGGAGAGGGCTGCTCGCTGCCTCTCCCCCGCACTGTGGGCTTCCCTGGGTGCATGCGTGGCAGCTGCTTTCCCGTTGCCGTGTACCCATCAGGCTGTCTATACCCTCCGTGTCTGCTGGAGGTCGCTGACGAGCCAGGGACCTGCCCTGTTCCAAGGGAAGGAACAGACCTGCCCTGCCCTGAGGAGCACCAAATCTCTAAAAAAACAGATTTATAGAATATCTGTTTGGATGCAGAAATTGTATGCACAGGGTCTTGAAGCATTGGTGGACAGTGTGTGTTAGGAAAAAACTGCAGATTTCAAAAGCTTTTGCACCCAATGAAACTCCCTCCCGTTGCATTTTCCACCAACTTTTGGAAACACCTGTCTCGGTCCTGCTTGGCATTTGGTCATTGGTGATGGAGTAAGCGCAGGTAACTGTGAGCTTTGCATTTCCCCCTCCCATCCTTTGGTCGGCTCAAAGGCTGGGACTTCTGGTTGCCACCACTTGGAGCTCCTGAGAAGGAAGATGCTGGGGTTCTTAAACCCAGCAGGTGGGAGACACACTCTGGGCGATGCGGAGACACCAGGGAGGGATAGTTGGTACGTTTCCCATTGGCTGGGTGGAGGGCGAAAGGCTGTAGGCTGGGGAGGGTAGGCAGTGACAGAGACAGAACATCCAAGCTCCGAACCCGGCCTGGAAGCTTGTCAGAGCACTTCTTGCTGCAGATCCTGGCCCCTGTGCATTTGAGAAAGGCCTTTGGGGCAGGGCAGGTGCAGGGAGCCACACAGGAACTGGGGTAGCACGGGAGATCCCAGGCCTGGGGCTGACGCCTCCACAAGGGAGGCTGAGCTTAGATTAAACCTCAGAGTTCAACGTCATACATGTAGACTTTTTGTCTCACTGACCCACCCACTCGTGTGGGCTTTACCTCGGTGTTTTTCTTTGACGTGTACATTTCTACTTTGTGAGGGTCTCCCAGTAAGACTGCTTTTCACACAGCTTGCTTAATTCCTGGAGTCCACAGGTGTCAGGGACCAGGAGTCTGAGCCTCAGGCACTGTCAGGTACAGGCGCATGGCTTGTCACAGTGGGCTAGGGATTCCACATTGTCCAATGCTAAAAACCAAGCATGGGCATGCTTATTGGAATAGAAAATGTGTTATGTAAAAAACTATTCATATAAAACTCTGAGACCTCAGTAAGTTCCAGGCTGGCCACTGGTCCCCTCTGCATCTCCTGGTCACTCCTATTGGATATTTCTTTAAATTCTAAGCTGCATTCAAATGTCTTTAAAAATTTCATTCATTTGAGAGCTAGAGAGAGAACTCCCATAATGGGACTACAAGTGGCCAGGACTGGACCAATCCAAAGCCAGGAGCCTGGAGCTTCTTCTGGGTCTCCCATGTGGGTGCAGGGGCCCAAGCCCTTGGTCAGTCCTCTGCCCTGAGCTGACACTTGGACACAGGTCTGCTCTGAGAATGTGTGTAAGGAGGAAAGCTGGAGCGGTTCTGGGTGAGGCTGGCTGTGCAGTTTCCCCAGGACTTGGCTCCTGGCATTCTCTGAAGAGCTGAAAGTCAGAAGCACAAGAAAATAGAAGGTCTGGCATTTAGAGCTCTCCATGAGCCTTTGGTGGGCTGTACGTTTTGTTTCCTGGGCTCTGTTGACCTGTCCTCCCCGCACCCCCCCCCCCGAGGAGTTGCAGAATTTTCCCTACATTTGTTTCTGCCAGTCTGTACTGAGGCTGCCGTCACCTGCTGCGTTGGGAGCTAGAGGAATGAGCAAGGAACCCTGCCCACGTGGCCTAGGGCAGCTAGGGAACATCCGGGGACCCAGAGGGGAGCATGAAAAAAAACCCAGCGTGGTAAAGACCCTGGGTGACTGAGTGTGATAAATTCTAAATGCAGCAGGAAGTCGGTGGAAGGCCCCCGCCTCGTCGGGCAGGTCAGGTGGGCCTGGAGCACAGGCTGTGAGCTGCGGGGTGTCGTACAGCCTCAGGGTGGGAGGGAATGCAGTACCAGCTGCTGCCAAGGTGAGTCTCGCCCATGGGATTCTCTGAGAAGTGGGTCAGGCAGCAACAGCAGCCGAAGGCAAGGTCCACGCAGGTAACACAGGTCCCCAGGGATATGGAGAGGAACTCTTGTTTGTAGGCACACAGTATCAGCGATTGAAAGGTGTCCCTGTGGTGTGTGTGTGTGTGTGTGTGTGTGTGTGTGTGTGGAGTGCTTGCTACCACTGTGCATTTACAAATGGTGAAGTGGTCAAGTTGGCCACAATAGGATAACCACACAAGAATGTGTAAGAGACATGGACCCAAGTCGTGGCTGTGACGAGGAGTGCACACACACGCAGAGCCATTGTCCCCTGGTCCTGGTGCACTGACCGATTACGGCTCCCGCTGGCCATGTCACTGACGCTTACTCATCCTTGTGATGTTCTCTGCCTCTTTGGGGGATGGACCTAGTCATACGGCAGGCATCGCACTGTCCACTGGACATCTCCTTGGTTTGCGTGCAACGGGCAGACAAGTGTCCCTGGCTCTACTGGCCAGTGGTAGATACTCTTGATGGGGATGGGGGCGGGGGCGGACAACTCTGAGAAAGTCGCTCCCCGTTGCTCCGACTGGTTGCCAAAATAAACCGGAACGCTTCATTCCAGAGAGAAAGCTGAGTGAGAAGGGCGACGGTTTTACGGGGAATAAAAGTCTCGGAGGGTGGTATATTTTAAGTACTTTTTCCTTCCAGCTATAAGAGTTGCTAAAAACAGACAGCAGCCAAAGAGGCAGCTCTGGCTCTCAGGGGTGGGAACTTGCCTCCAGCTTCCGTTGTCAGGGGTCGACAGGCTGGGGAGGAGGGACCCACGGCCGGTGCGGGTCCCCCAGTAAGCCTTGCCTGCTTCCTCACGCGGCCCCGGGTTCCTCTTCCGCCCCTGCCTGGTGCCAGCGTCCACCTCCCCATCTATACAACTTCTTGAACGAAACTCAATCTTGGCTTAGTTCTTTATCCAGAGCCGCTGGCAGAGTTGCCCGGCAGTGACGCCGGAGGGGAGGACAGAACAGGGGAAGGAAGGAATGGAGGCCAAGGGGAAAGCAGAGAGAGGAGTTAGCAGGAACCTGCCGCGGGTCCTCCACGTGGTGCCCAGCTACATCTGGGAGCCCGCCCTTGGCCTTGCACGTCTCGCTCATGAAGGTCCTGAAGTGAGAGAGCCATGACGTGTGATGTGCCTCCTTTTCTACCTGCGTGTCCCTTCAGCAGGGCTGCCCCAGGGTCCTCCCATCCTGGCTGGCTGGTAGCGCTCAGACTTGCAGAGCCGGGCTTTTGAGCATGTGTTGGTCCTGCACACCCACCATGCTCTCCCACCCACTCCCAGCACCCAAGGCTGCAAGGGCACCTGTCAGGATCTGTGGTGGTGGACTTCCCTGGGGCCTGCGGTCAGCAGCCTCCTGCAGGCTTGCTGAGAAGGAAGCTTGTAGCGGGGGAGGGTGGGATAGGACCGCGGCCCTGTCTCCTTCTCTTGCCTTATGTTTTTTTTTTCTTTCCTGCCGGCCTCATTGGGTATGCAAGGAAATGAGCCCAACCGCCTGCGAAGAGAGGAAGAATGAGATAGCTTCCTAAGTCGTCTCTGCCTGAGTTGGCCCGGGTCTGGAGCTCATTCAGCCTTTTGTGCCCCTGTTGAGTGCTGTGCGTGTGTGGTGACAGTGGAGGGATGCAGTCGCACTGCGGGCGAAGGCTAGGAGTTCCGTCCGCCCATTCATGCGGGCAGAGGAGGGTGCAGGGCAGGGGAGCCTGAGCCAGCACGCAGAGGAAGTCAGGGGCCCTCCGGGGATCACAGACGCTGCTCTCAGGGCTTGGGGGCTGGGGAGCGGGGCGGGGGCGGGGAGGAGGAGAGCTGGGCATCATCAGAGGAGCTGGAGGCCTGCCCGACCTCCAGTGCGGCAGAGTGCCACCTGTCTACGGCTGGCAGATGGGCATTAAGGCTGTCCTGTTTGTTTATCAGCTCCATGTGGGGTGTCGAAGCAAATGGCTGCTGGGAAGCTGGGGTCCCAGGGCATACCTCAACGTGGGTGCGGCTCTCCTGCCCGGGGCCATTTGGGCCGCACCCCAACCCTTCTCCTGGAGCTTCATTCTTTTTGTGCCTCTACTCTGAGGCCTGATGGCACAGGGGTGTACTGGGAGAAACCTGCGGTGAGGAGCCCTTTGGGAAAGCCAGGCTCAGCTTTGAACTTGATGTCCCTTGAAAAGCAAAGCTGCTTGATATCAGCCCCAGCTGGGAAAGAAGGACATTTTGACCATTTGATCTCTGAATTCTGCGATGCTGGGGCTGTTGGGACAGTGTTGTCTGTAATGTTGCCCTCATGGGAGTATATTAATCCTACTCGTGTGAGTCTCCAGTACAGGCCCCACGTGTGGAGTTTCCTGCCTTCTTGCTTTGGGCAGGAAAAGAGGTGTGTAGAGTTGGGGTGTGTCCCCTTCTCCTTCTTCTCTCGCTTTGCACCTGCTCAGACAACAGGCCCACGCTCTTGGGCGCCTGGGAAGATTCCCTGCCATGCTCGGGCTGTGCTGTTGATGGTGTGAGCTGTGGCTCAAGGGCGCAGGGAACCATCAGACAGGAAGCCCCATCACCATCATCTCTTTCAAGACAGGGTCTGGGTGCAAGGCAGCCCAGCTTATTAAAGTGGTGTTGATAATCAGTGAGCAGGTTGTGGGGAAACAGTCATTTATTTGGTGAAAGAGAGAGAGATCTGGCATCCACTGGGTCATTCCCTAGGTGTTCACAACAGCCAGGACTGGGCAAGCTCCAATCCAGGAGCTTCGTGGGGGCGGGTGGCAGGGACCTGAGCCTTGGGCCGTCTTGCATTGCCTCCCCAGGGAGTTGGGTGGGAAGTAGAGTAGCCAGGACCTGCAGTGCCAGCATTCCACATGGGCGCCAGTCTGGCTGCCGGCTGCTCCGCTTCCCATCCAGCTCCCTGTGAATGCTTGAGAAAGCAGCGGACGGAGGATGAAGCCTCAGGCCTTGGGCCCCTGCACCCACGAGGGAGACCCGTAGAAGCTCTTGGCTTCTGGCTTTGGGCTGGCCCAGCTCCAGCCACTGCAGCCACAGGGGAGTGAACCAGTGGATGGAAGGTCTCTGCCTTTACAATAAAAATAAATAAAATTTTTAAAGATTTACTTTTATTGGAAAGTCAGATATACAGAGAGGAAAATCTTCCATCCAGTGGTTCACTCCCCAAGCAGCCACAATGGTCAGAGCTGAGCCCATCTAGAGACAGAAGCCTCTAAAGGGGCTCAGGCAGGTACAGGATCCCAAGTCCTTGGGCCAACTTCCAAAGCTTTTCCAGACCAGAAGCAGGGAGCTGGATTAGAAGTGGAGCAGCCAGCACTTGAATTGATGCCCATATGGGATTTCTGCACCATAGGTGGGGAAGATTGGCTTGCTACACCACCATGAACTTCCTCCCCACTCCCCTCCCTTCCCTCGGTCCAAAAAAGTTTAAAACTAGCACGTACTAAAATGTAGGTGTCCCTAGAAGTGATACTTACTTTGGGAAAGAACCAAGCATGTGGGGTGGACAGGACCTCGGCTGTTTGCTATCACCAGTGAAGAGGCGATACAAAGTAGAGGCTGTGCCCTGAGCACTGGCTGCCACCTGCGGACTCCGGCCCCCTTGGTCTAGGGTGGCATGGGGCTTTGGCTACTGGGCTGGCTCTGTGTCTTGTTTCTGTCCCCAAGACCAGACACATAGGGCACCCTCCTCCAAGCTAGAGTAAACACCACTCCCCTGGGTCAGTTGGAAGAGAAGTCCAAAGAATTCGCTTCATAGCTGTCATTTCTTGGGTGACGTCTTAGCCCCTCAGGTCGTCTCAGTTGCTCTCTGTTGTCGCATAGATAGGGGAACTGAGCTCTGAGACGTTCACTTAGCTGCTGCTCACAGAGGCGGCATGTGGGCACAAAGACCACCCTCCCTGTCTCCATCATCCTTGCCACTCCTGTGCTGTTCACTTCTGCCCCGACCCCTCGTTTGAATGGGGTCCAGATGAGAGGGAAGGAAAAGCACGCGAGGGGCTGTTGAAGTTTTGTCTCTTTCACCTTAACTCTTAACTTTATGGTAGATATTTAGAAGCTGTAGCGAGAGCGTGAGTTCACTTCTCAGAGTGAGACACCTGTGCGTGCATATGGGGAAGGGGCACGAGTGAGGGAGCTGGAAGCTGTGGCGAGGCTCAGTTGGCTGTATTTGCCACCCATGGGTGCTGTGCTTCAGCGGTGGAGAAGGGCAGAGGAGAGAGGCTGGGAAAGAACTGCTCGGGACCCTCTCTGTGGCTGTACCTCCCTGCTGGTGGCAGCCGCGACTTTGCTGGTGGCAGCCGGGACTTGTCGTTGCATTCCGCGTCACCGGCTGAGAGCAGCATCTGCCCCGGGGCCAACACACTCCCCAGTTCCTCTACCAAATATAGAATACTAAAAAGCCGTGTTGCAGCTTCTCCCTTCCTCCCGGATTGGACTGCCCAAGGGTCCAGAAGGCTTTGTAAACATTCTGCATTGTATTTTTTTTTTTAATGAGAATTAGATGGGCAGTAAATTGGGATCTTTGTTGGGCTTTGTTCTCCTTGAAAGAGGAGGGTCAGGCCGATTTCGCCCACAGTCTCTCTCTTGTGCCCTCCAAGGTATCCAGGCACCGGAGCTTAGAAAAATGCATAGGAAGATAGAATGAAAACCGAACTGTGTCTTAGTGCCAAGAAATCCTGGGATGGATGTTGCCTAGCCCTTACCTGTTCCGGACTTTTTGAGGATGCTCGTGTGTGCGTGTGTCCCTTCCTTGAAGCTTCACCCATGGCCTTTGCTGTTCACTCTGCCACTTCCCATTGGAGCAAGCTGGATCCAGTTGGTCACTCGATGACGACCATAAATGGAGCACTCAGGCCTGAGCTGCTCACACTGGGAATCCCCCAGGCTCCCGCTGCTGGCCGGGGGCCTCTGCTGATGGGAGTTCACTTCTCTTCACTATTCCCACTGAGTTTTCTTTTCTTTTTCTTTTTTTTTTTTTTTAAGATTTTTGTTTTATTGGAAAACCAGATCAGATTTATGGAGAGACAGAGACAAAGATCTTCCCTCCACTGGTTCACTCCCCAAATGGCCACAACAGCTGGAGCTGAGCCAATCCAAAGCCAGGAGCTCTTCCGGGGTCTCCCACGCACATGCAAGGTTCCAAGGCTTTGGGCTGTCCTCTGCTGCTTCCCAGGCCACAGGCAGGGAGCTGGATGGGAAGCGGGAGCTGCAGAAACATGAATCGGAGCCCATAAGGGATCCTGGCGTTTGCAAGGCAAGGCTTTATCCTCAGACCTCGCGCCAGGCCCCTCCCATTAATTTTTCTACTGGAAATTAGCATAAACCCACATGGGTTGCCTTGCTCGTGCTCTCTTCATAAAACATCTCTGTGCATTTGGCACAGCTGCTGGGATGCTCCTGACTCTACTTCCAGTTCCAGGTTCCTGGCAGCAGCCCAGGCCAACCCCCACAGCCGCTGTGGAAATACCTGGGGAGTGACCCGGCGGATGGTAGATCCTTCCGCCCCCCCCCCCCACCTACTGTGTGCCCCAGGCTCCCACTGACTCTCAGGTGTGGGCCCCTGTCTCTCCAGGATTGCCTGAAAGCCTGCCAGGAGCAGATTGAGGCCGTGCTGCTCAGCAGCCTGCAGCAGTTCCGTCAGGAGCAACGCGACGCAGCCAAGACCGAGGACGAACTGGACCAAGCCAGCACCCCTACGGACGTGCGGGACATCGACCTGTGAGGCTGCCTGGAGGGCCGCGCGCGGGAGAGGCACGCTCGCCATCTGTGCTCTCCTCTCTGGTCATGTTTGCGTTTTTTTGTGTTTTAGGATGAAACTTTAATGGGAAAAAAAAAAACCTGTCCCCTCTCCCCCATGTTAGAGCAATATTTAAAGATCTGTTAGAAGTGAGAGAAAAGAGAAAATGGTCCTATCAAAATAGCATCATTAAAAGCGTTTGGTGACTATTCAGAAGTACAACATAAGGGAAACCCTTGTATATGCGAACAGGTGTTGTGGGACTGTGTCAGACTAGGAGCAGTGCTTACCGGAAACCCTGCGGAGTAGCTAGAGAATCTGTCCGTACGCCTGCAATGCGGGAACAAATTAGAAGAGACTCTCGGTCGGTCCTGTTATGAGCTAGCGCATCCACACCCCTCTCAGTTGCATTTCAAGGAACTTGTGTACGCCATTTATGGCATGATTAGATTGCCAAGCAATGAACTCAACAAGGAATTAGGAATTGGGGTGGGAGGGTGGGGAGCGTGGTGGGGAGGGAGTACCCGAAACAATCTCATGACTGAACCGTGTTGGATGGGAGAAGCACCCCCAAGTCACTAACAGGGGGGACTCTCCACCAGGTGTCACACCCCTGCGGTGGCTGCTCGCCAGGCACAGGTGGCTCCCCTCCTGAGTCTGGTGCTGGGTGACACCCCCTGCTTCTCCCGAATACCGCACCGCGTCATTACATAATAGAGAAACACAGCTTTGGGCCGTAACCAAAAGGCAGAGGGTGGGATGTAGAACGGGAATTTTTTTTTTTTTCTCAAATCTTTAACTATTTCAAAGAGGGTCAAGTGGCATCCCCTTAGTAGGATTTTTTTTTTTTTTTTTTTTTGGTGCTGATTGGCATGTCTGGTCCACAGTCGAGCATTGTTATAAACCATTCCATTCGAAAAGCACTTTGAAAATTTGTTCCCGTGGGTTTGATGGGATGGTTTATGCAAATCAAGCTGAATTGTCTTTTCCCCCTTTCTGGCCCCCCTTCCCACCATGTCCCAGTTGGGGTGCCCCTTTCCTATACCGGTCTCAGTCCTGGGGTTCCCCAGCCATCCCCCCTGACATTCCCGTCACGACATTCCTCAGACAGGCCCACCAGCACAGCTCTGGGACCCTCTGGATGGTGCAGAAGGATCTTCCTCCTCTTCTATTCCAGCTCTTCTCGGGACGCAGAGAGAAGAGTGTGTGCTGGTACCCAGACAGACAGCCGAGCACACGAGTGTGCCATCCGCTGCCTTCTCCATTGCGTTTCACTTCACTGCAAAGTTGTATTCAGCGTACTTGAACATGTTGGGGTTTTTTGTTTGTTTCCTCTCCACTTCTTAGAGGCATTCGGTTAGCAGAGAGGTTGGAGCATTGCCTTTTTTTTTTTTTTTTTGCACAATGGTAATTGACAGGTGATGAAGCTATTACAATGTTTGCCTCTTTTTTTAAGTGAAAAAGAAAAACATCAGAACAAGGCTATGTTGAAGAGTTATTTTATACATAGATTGTCTTGTTTCGTAGGATGAGGGTTGAAGACGGAGAAAAATCTAAGGTCTCTTATTTTCATTTTATTTTGTTCATTTTTTTTTTATTATTATTATTTCTTTTTTGCGCTGCTAAGAAGCGGAGATCGTCCTTTTCTCACATTAACAGTACCTAGCTGTAATGTTTTCACCGAGTGTGCTGCTATTTTATAAACATTTTTATAATATATTATTTTACTGCTTAAATTCCAAGTCCTGAAGTAGGTGGTTAAGATACAAGTTTCTTCATACTGGAAAAGCCCTCCTTTGTATGTTTTCTTCCGGTAGCAAATTCATGGTTAGTTTGGGGGTTTCTTTTTCTCTTCCTTATTTCCTCCCCGCCCCCCTTCTGGTCACATTCTTCTGACAGTGCATTCTTTACCTCAGGTTTACTGGACAGAATTAATAACTACAAAAAGACAGCGACTTGCATACCTCACAGCTCACACTTTTCTAGTCGGGAGGCAGGCAGGTGCGCCGGAGGCAGGCTGGATGTGGCCCGGACTCAGAAACCTGGCCGTGCTTAAAGACTGTCAGGCTCCCATTCTAGCTCCGGTGTGCTCCTCATGATGAAAACAAAAATGTATTGAACCAAGGGACACCCCCCCCACACACACACACACACACACGCACGGGCTTTTTCCTCCCCTGCAAGGTGCGTAACTCGGATATTGTACCCAAGTAGATGAGGGAATGATGGTTTGCGCTGTGGGGAGCCTGCTGGCAGGTTGCAGGGCAGGGGTAGAGGGGTGCTGCTCCCACGGGCTTCTGCACCTGTGCAGGGTTCATGCACTGCACGCTGCCTGCCCCTCTGTGTCTGTCTGTCTCCATCCTGGCACAGATCTCACCACCCTGTGTCCCGTCTGCGGCTTGAGCGCTTGGCGGGCAGGCTGGGCTTCCTCATTCCAGCTCTATCTTCCAGCCGCGGCAGGCAGGGCTAGGACCCGTGTGGTTTTCGGGGTTAGCACGGAAGGATAAGACGGGAGATAGGGCTGCAGAGTGGCCTGGAGGGGCCCACTTCTCTGCGGAGGCGAGATCCCAGCCTTAGAAGTCAGGTCTTCTCAGGAAAGTGTGGTGCCTAGGTAGCAGGAGTGGCTCGAGTTTGAGAGAGGAAGGTTGAGCAGCTGGTATTGATGGAGAGCTTTGGGAAGATGATGCACTGGGTATGTTCCCTGAGTGGGGACCAGCCCAGGAGCATAGGCAGAGGCTGACTCCTGGGGTGAGCCGTGGCCCCCTGCTGCCGCTGCTGCAGTCCTAGCTTCCTCCCTTCCTTCCAGCAGCCTCCCATGGTGTCGTGTCTTTTCTAGCTTTTTCTCCTTCCCATCCACATGGGGTGGCCGAGGTGGGGGTGGGCTGGCTTTTCTGCCCATTTCCTCAAAAGAAAAACCCTAAATTTTCTCGAGGGTCAGTTGCCCTCTCCGTGGGCCTTCTTCCGCCTGGTAAGGAGTCTTCTTCCCAGAGAGGTTCAGCTCTGCCCATGGATTTGAACCTGTTCTTTCTCCCCCTTCTCTTTATCTCATCTCCCGAGTGTTTCTGATTATTTTCTTACTTTCTATCTCTTTTTCTTTTTTTTCCTGTTCTCCATCAGTATGGCAGGGAGTGAATTGTTCACAACCCTGCCCACCTCACACCAGCCTGCCGAATTCTGGTCCTTCCCCTATCTTGGCCCAATAAAACTATGGGGAAGAAATTATAGGATGCCAAAAATACATGCTGAGCAGGGAGAGGCCACGCAGGTGCGTAGTGGCCCAGGCGGGGCGCTTCTTGGGAAGGGGAGGGTGCTGCTCCGAGGAGGGCACAGCAGGTTGTTTGGGGGGCTTACAAAAGCCAGAGGAGACTGCTGCTGGGCTCCCAGGGCACCACTGCTTGGCCGTGGCCTGGTACGTCCAGGGTCTTTCCAGACTTTTTCTTGGCGCCCAGGTGGGGGCCCAAGGAGAGGATTGGCTGAGTTTCCCCAAGAGGGGCTGAGAGAAGAAAGATGGGTTTGCACCTTATGCCGTGTAAATATCGAGTGTCTAGTTTCAGAAGATGATACTGGTTAGTGTGGGGTTGGAGATGTGGGGACAGGGAGGATGTCAGTGAGCTAGCTGGCTGCCATGCCCAAAGGATTCCTCAGTGTTTTTATCTTTGAGACAGTCTGACCTTGGGAATAGCTTTAAAAGAGAGGTTCGTGCCTGAGACGATCAAGTCCCCCATTAGCCAAGAAACCCAGGCTGCGGTGCCACGCCTCTGGCCGTCCGTCCACACAGAGTGGGGTGGGAAGACACTAGAAGAGGTTCAGGACCTGCCGTGCCTCGTGGCCTTTCGTGATTCTAGATCCTCAGCGAGCCAGGAAGAGCCCCCCAGCCTCTGACCTCGGGTGGTGGTGACATGTACATACCGCGCTGCCCGCCACTGCAGTCAGATGCCCTCGCCTGCAGACCGCTTCGGGGACACCAAGTGCCTTACTGACTATCGCCTTACACTTCGCCGTGTCTGTTGACAGGTGCCTGTCTTTGCAAACGGAAAAGATATCTGTTTGACTTTTGAATTGGTTTTAGTTTCTTGCCGCTGGCCAGCTCCTCCTTCTGCAGCAAGTCACCAGGCTGTTATTGGTCATTCCTCCGTGATGCGTTTTCACCCTTGTACCGTGTACCTCAGCTTGCCTTCCCTCCTTTTCTCTTTCAGTATTTCCTCTCAGACTGATTTTTTTCCTTTTTATCCTTTTATTACTATTATTATTATCTTTTTTTTTTTTTTTTTGCTTTAAAACGAGTGTGATACCATATCAAGTCAATGTTATTCTCACAATGTACTCTATAAGAGGTGTGTGGTTGTTTATTTTGGTCGGGATGTTAGCAAGTGCTGAAGTAGCGCGACTCATGTGAGCAAAGGTTTGTAGGAAGGAGGGGAACATGTGTTGGCGATCGAAGGTGGTGACACGATGTCAGCCGCCTCCGGGCGAGCTCTTCTCTGTTCAGTGTTAAAAGTGTTTTTGTTTTTGTTTTTGTTTTTTTAAAGAAAGAAAAGTAATAACCTGTTCTGACTAGTTGAAAGATGGAATTGAAGATGGAATTGAAAACGGTTTGGGTTGCAATTAGGTTATGCTATTTGGACAATAAACTCACCTTGACCTACTTTCTCTGGCCGCTTGCACTTATTGGTAGAACAGCGTTGCTCAGAACAGAACACCTGGTGGGGGGCAATGATGGGGCCTTGGCATAAAGGACACCCCTGGACCTGCATGGGGACCTGCTGCACCTCTCTGCTCTCTTCTTGCCACCCAAGGAACTGTCAGCAATGGATGGCCTTCCTTTCAGAAGGTGCCACCAGCCCTCCATGCCGTCTCCCGACTCGGGGTCGGGGGCTCTGAGGAACTCCATCTCCCACCTGCAGCTTTTGTCACAGCTCTTTGTCTAACTCCTGATCTTCTCCCTGTATCCCTCCCAGGGGAGGCCTGGGCTGCAGCTGACCTTAGGGAGCTGGGATGTGGCCTGGACCCTTACCAGACCCTGGTCCCTGCTGCTTGGGGGCCTTAGGACCTCAGACCATCTTTCCCTGGAGTGATGGCAGGGGAATGTTGAGGGAGATGGCTGAGCCATTTTTTTTTTTTCCGGTATTCAAATACCTCTTTTTCTCTCCGGTCCCCGTCCCTGTCCATGTCATTGAAGGCTGTCTCCCGGGTTCATTCTGCACTGAGTTCAAGCACTAAGATGAAAACTGGTCACTAGGGGAGGCCAGGAAGTCAGAGTTCCTACCCATCTCAGTCCCATTCATGTGTGTCTCTGTCCCTTTTATTTTATTATTATTATTTATTTATTTATTTATTTATTTGCTGCACAATACTTGAAGCCCAGTGACAAGGCGTTTGCTTAGCTCACAAAACTGCACTGCGAAGGAGCAGATGAGCAAATGCAAATGAGCCCAAGTTGCACGGCAGCTTAGGTGTGGGCAGGCCTTTGCATGGGGCGCGGGGCAGGTGATCCCAAACAGTGGCGTTTAAGGAAATGTGCATGTGGAAGCAGCAACGCTTGGAAACACTCGAAGGAGAGTCTGACCTTTTCCAAAAATAAAGGTTGGCAAGTTGAGGTTTTTTTTTTTTTTTTTTTTAATGAAGGGAAAATATTCAAATAGGCAGCTTGAAGAGCACACACAGTATAATGGATTTTAAACACTATAAACACAGATGCTGCTTTCCCCAAATGGAGTAAACTCAGCCGCAAGCGCAGCCTGGGATGACCACTTCTCTGGTTTTTCATGCGGCTAGGGGAGGAGGAGAGAAGCTGGAGATGACTGGTGGCTTTCTCTCTCTCTCTCTCTCTCTCTCTCTCTGATCCCTGGGGACCAGCCTGCTGTCTGCAACTGACCACAGCCTGAGTGAGCCAGGACTGGGCAGCCTGGGAAAACAGCAAGACCAAGTAGGCCTTGCCTCCGTCTGATTTCGAAGGCTCATCATTCTCCCTCCAGCCCCCAGTGTGACCTTGGCTAGTCAGGATGTCCCTTTGACCCTCTTAGCCCCAACCGCACCGGGATAACAACATCACTCCAGATTCATTTGCAGGGGTGTACCTGGAGGTTTAAACATAGGGCTCTTCCAGTGCCGGGCACTAGGTGGCACCAGCGCCCCAGTGGGGAGTCAGCTGAGAAAGAACGCCAGAGCAGGCCAGGTGTCCCCACACCTCCTGCAGGCAGGACCCCCCTCCTGTGCATGGGGGTGACAGCTGGCAGTGCCCCCTCCCCGCCTCAGGGCTCCTGCCAACCGCCACGTTCTGCCTCCATCTGGGCTGGCTGGTGCTGACTCATCACCTTTTCTGATCTTGCCCGCCTCTAATCCGGAGATGGCAAGCTGGCAGCCTGCAGACATAATTAGTTTGACTCCCACAGTGATTGAAATTGTCTGGGACTCGCTTGCCAGCAGAAGATGAGAGCTTTCACATGAAAGTCGGGAAATCGGAGTCCTGGCAACCGCAGGTCTGCGAGGTGGCAAGGGTTGCGGCGAGGAGTCTGCCCGCTCTCAGCCACCCCACTCGCTGCCACCGCCCGTGTGGTGTACAGCCCCACAGCCTGACTGTCTCTGGGAGCCTGGGGAATCCTACCCTCTCACCTCCCTGGAGACCAGAGGACCCCGGAGCGCCTCCCTCCCCTGCCATGCATAAAGCATGCACCTCTTTCTTCCTTGTACTCTGTAATTTTCTCTCTCTCTCTCTCTCTTTAAGATTTATTTATTTTTATTGGAAAGGCAGATATACAGAGAGGAGGAGAGACAGAGAGGAAGATTCACTCCCCAAGTGGCTGCAAGGGCGGAGCTGAGCTGATCCGAAGCCAGGAGCATCTTCCAGGTCTCTCACGTGGGTGCAGGGTCTCAAGGCTTGGGCTGTCCTTGACTGCTTTCCCAGGCCACTACTACTACTAGGCTACTGTACCAGGCCCTCCTCTGTCTCTTAATGGGATTTTTGCCTGTCACGTAACTAGAGGGCAAAATTTAAAACAAAAAAAATTTTTTTTTTAAATCTGAGAGGCCGAGACAGAGGAACAGAAAGACTTGCTATGCCAGCGCCAAGCCAGGTCTCCCACATGAGAGGCAGGGACCCCAGTTACTGCTGCCTTGCCTCGGGCTGCCTGAGCAGGAAGCAGGAGCCATAGCTGAGACTAGAACCCTAGCACCCCAAGATCGGCTGTGGGTGCTTAACTACAAGGCTGAAAGACCCAGGATTTTGAAATTTCTCTGAGACCCGGCCCCCCCAATCCTCAGGCCGACCCTGAGCTTCTGGCTCCTGGCTTCTGATCTGCTCAGCTCTGGCCTTTGTGGCCATCTGGGCGGTGAACCAGCAGACGGAAGACCTCTTTCCCTGTCTCCCTGACTCTCTGTGGCTCTTTCAAATAAAAATAAAACAAAAAACAAACAAACACACAAGTTGAGCATGCTAGCTCAGTCATCCAAACCTGAAACTTTTTTGGACATTGGACACTGCTCAAAAGCTTTCAGTTTGCAGATTATTTTATATTTGGGGATGCTCAATCCAGTAACATCTGAGCAAATATCCCCAAATCTACACAACACTGCGCGTCCCAAGCCTTTTAGATAAGCGCTGCTCTATTCGCACTTTTTTTGGAAAGTCTTCGCATATCAGCAGTGCTAAAAACAGTCATAGAAGGTCTTCAGGAAGTTCATGAGAATGGAAAAGAAGTGCATTTTGGGGAAACATCAGTAAACAGATTCCAAAGTGTTTTGCATGAATATGTTTAAAAATTTGTGCTGATGTATTTGAGAGGCAGAGAGTTGAGAGATGAGAAAGGAAGATGACAAGGCCTGGACAGGGTAAAGCCCAGAGTTGACCCCATCCAGCTTGCTCGAGGAGGAGGCATGGTCTGCTGAGCCATCACCAGTACGTGCTAGGTTCCACACTGGGAAGAAGCTGCAGCCAGCGGCCGGAACCAGGATTGAACTTGGGCATTGCGCTAATGGGACACAGACATCCTAATAAGTTGCTTAAACACTACGCCAAATGCCCATCCTAAATATATTTCTTTTCATTTTTAAAAATATTTATTTTGTTTATTTTTATTGGAAAGTCAGATATACAGAGAGGAGGAGAGACAAAGAGGAAAATCTTCTGCCTGCTGATTCACTCCCCAAGCGGCTGCAGTGGTAGGAGCTGAACCGATCCAAAGCCAGGAGCCTCCTCTGGGTCTCCCACATAGGTGCAGGGTCTCAAGGCTTTGGGCCGTCCTCGACTGGTTTCCCAGGCCACAAGCAGGGAGCTGGATGGGAAGCAGAGCTACTGGGATTAGAACTAGCACTCATATGGGATCCCAGTGCGTGCAAAGCAAAGCCTTTAATCACTAGGCTACTGTGCCAGGCCCTTCTTTTTTTCTTTCCTTTTTTTTTTTTTTTTTTTTTTAGGATTTATTTATTTATATTGGAAAGGTAGATTTACAGAGAGAAAAAGACACAGAGAGAAAGAGCTTCCATCTACTGGTTCACTCCCCAAGTAGTCACAATAGCTGGAGCTGAGCCAATCCGAAGCTAAGAGCCAGGAGCTTCTTCTGGGTCTCCCACGTGGGTGCAGGGTTCCAAGGCTTTGAGCTGTCCTTGACTGCTTTCCCAGGCCACAAGCAGAGCGCTGGATAGAAAGTGGAGCAGCTGGGTCATGAACCGGTGCTCATATGGGATCCCAGCGTATGCAAGCGAGGATTTAACCATTGGGCCATTACACTGGATCCTTAACTATATTTTCTTAATTCCGTTTCCCATGAAGTCTTTGAAGTACCTTACGCCTTCCCTACGTCACTGCGGGTTCCAGCTGATTGAAGAGACTGGAAAATGTGCTTTGCTCTATCATTTCCTCCTGCCTTAGTTGTCCAATGCTGCAAATGTATTTCAGGGGTCAGAGCCAAGAGCCCATGATTTTACAGCCTAAATGTCTTTTCTTTTCCTTATCGTTCAGTGAGGGCTCTGCCAAGGCCAAGAGCTCTGGGCTTCCCCATCCGTTACTGACTACGTCATAAACAGCATACTCTCCCCATGCCAAGGAGGGGCAGCGTGCTGTCTTGGGAAAAGAGGCTCGTGGAAGCCAGGAGACTTCAGGTGGGATCCTTGTGTGGGATTGATGCCTTTCTGTTTGTTTTTGTTTGTTTTCCATAAAGTAGGAAAACTTGCTGGGTGATGAAAGGATTAAATGATTGTCACTTCAAGTGCCTGATCCCTGGGAAACTTCAACGAGAATCAGCTCATCAGAATACACGCACCGAATCGGATGCTGTGTTCATCCCTCCGATAGGCCTTGGAGATGGAAGGGAGAGTTTGGAAAGGTAGCTGGAAGCCCACGCAGCCGTCTGCGCATGCGGGTGGAGGTGGATTGCACACCACACCGGTGCAAACCGGAAGCATTTACAACCTTCATGACTTCCCCTTCCCTTGGTGCTGCTGCCATTCTTCCGTTAGTGAATTTGGGCTTGCTGGGCTCCACGGCAAGCCATGAAAAAGGATTAGCGGCTGCCTGCATGCAGATGTTGCGGGGGGAGTCCCCTGCAGTACACCCAGTGGAGAAGGCATCCCTTGACTGCCCCTCGGCGGAGAAGTGGCTTGAGCGGCAGATAGGCCAAGTGGGGGCCTGTGGTGACAGATGTCAGATGTTGGCAGAGAGTGGCTGCCAACACACATCTCTCTCCACCTTCAGACAGCAAGCTGAGGGGAGAGCCGGGGACAGTGGGACTGGCAGACCCCGCCCGCTTGGAGCGCTGGTCGCGTCTCTGCCCCGGGCTCTGTACGAAGCAGATGGTTTCCCTTGTACTCATGACTTGCTGTTGGCCAAGAGATGCTGTCCTCCCGTCTGGATGCGACATGTAATCAGTGATGACAATGGGTAAGAAATCCCTGCCAGAAGTCCGCACGTTCTCCTCCTCTTCTGTCGATATGAACTGTTTCATATTCCAACCTTTCAATTGCTTCTGAAGCAACAGAAAGCATAAGGCGAAACAGTGGTGTTAGAGTGAGAGGAGCGACAAGACCACTGCTCTCGGTTGGTCCTGAAAATGTGGTCGTCAGGCTGATGCCATTGTTCGGGTCCATTTCCGGGCTGACTTGGCATCCTCTCGCCTGTTCTGGGTGGTCTTGGAGAGCTTTATGTTAGAATCATAAACTGACAGTATTAAGAGAGAATCTAGGGCCTGGTCCTCGCCTTGCACACGCCGGGATCCCTGATGGTGCCGGTTCTAATGCCGGCAAACCCGTTTCCCATCCAGCTCCCTGCTGTGGCCTGGGAAACCAGTTGAGGACAGCCCAAAGCCTTGGGACCCTGCACCCACATGGGAGACCCAGAGGAAGTTCCCGGCTCTTGGCTTCAGATTGGCACAGCTCCGGCCACTGCGGTCACTGGGGGAGTGAATCAATGAATGGAAGATCTTCCTCTCTGTCTCTCCTCCTCTCTCTATGTATCTGTCTTTGCAATAAAAAAAAAAATCTTTTAAAAAAGTGGACATAACAAATTCCAAGAATACCCATACCCATCTACTACAGTCTCTTTTCTCTTTCTCTTTTCCTTCCTTCCTTCCTTCCTTCCTTCCTTCCTTGGCTCGTCTGTCCTCACTGCTCATACGCTGTCCTCTGGAACCTGCCGTTACGTTTATGTTTGCTTCACTCCGCATGCCTTCTCCCTCTACGCTTCCCAGCTGCCTTAGCCTTCACTTCCTTTTGCAGTTCCGAGTTGCAGGAGCACCTGTTGGGTTGAATGAATTGACCTCAAACTTCCAGAACATTGGTGTGGAGCAGCTGTGGGGTCTGTGTATCCTGCGGCCATCTGGAACCTACCCTTGTGTCCTTTTCCACACATTCAGAAATTCTGGGGGCTGTTAGAGACGCCAACCTCAAGTGCAGAATCTGCATTTTCACAAGATCCCTAGCTGAGGGTCTTCATACTTTGAAAAGTGCTGTTTAAATGTCTGTTCTCAAAACTGGTTGAGGGGCCATCACAAAGCTCCCAGAAAACATTCTGTGTGAAAATACAGTGTGTGGATTCTTTTTTGCACTAAAATAATCTTCTTCCATTTCATTTTCAACGAACTCTTTTGAAATATTCAGTAACTGGGGATGAATACGGGGTGCAATGTGGCATTCAAAAGTGCCTGGGGGGTTTTAGTGTATTGGTGGGTGTGGAAACTTCTGAATGAGCTGTGACGCCCCTGACCGGCACGTGGGCGGGACACTGCTTAGTTTCCTGCATCTAGATGGTACATCTCTTAAGATAACATCATATGGGGCCCGGCGCGGTGGCGCAGTGGTTAAGGTCCTCACCTTGCACGCCCAGGATCCCATATGGGCGCCGGTTCTATCCCGGCAGTCCCGCTTCCCTTCCAGCTCCCTGCCTGTGGTCTGGGAAAGCAGTCGAGGACGGCCCAAGGCTTTGGGACCCTGCACCCGCGTGGGAGACCCGGAAGAGGCTCCTGGCTTCGGATCGGCATAGCATCGACCGTTGCGCTCACTTGGGGAGTGAATCATCGGACGGAAGATCTTCCTCTCTGTCTCTCCTCTCTGTATATCTGCCTTTCCAATGAAAAAAAAATAATAATAAAAATAAATCTTTAAGATAACATCATATGGCCTACCCTTTGTATTTCAGAATTGATGCGAAGGCCAAATGTGATAAAACACACAGTGTTCTGGAATGCATGTCTATATGAATCTTATTACCTCTTATATCACTTTCCTAAGTCCATCTTCCTGTGTACAACTACAATTCAAGGAAACAAATCCATTTCCAAATGTAAGAATTTAGGTAAAAATCGAAGCCAACTCCATGGCATGCAGCCTAAGCCTAAGCCTTGCAGCGCCAGCTTCCCATAGGGTCACCAGTTCTAGCCCCAGCTGTTCCACTTCTGATACAGCTCCATATTTGTGGTCTGGGAAAGCCGTGGAATCTGCTTCAAGTCCTTAGACCCCTGTACCCACATGTGAGACCCAGAAGAACCTCCTGGCTCCTAGCTTCACATAGACTCAGCTCCAGTGGTTGTGGCCATCTGGGGATTGAATCAGTGGATGGAAGATCTGTCTCTCTATCCTTGTCTCTGTAAATCTGATCTGTTCTTCCAATAAAAATAAGTATATATCTTTTTTTTTTTTAAGTGCAGAGACACAGGCGTCAAACAGAAAAGAGAAAGAGTTCCCCAGAGAGCAGATGGGTGGGGAGGCTAAGGTGGCTGGGGAGCCTCTGGGCAATGGGCCCGGGCTGTTTATATTGTCTTTTGAGAGGGGTCCCATATACAGAAGGGTCCATTGGTGGTGGGCGTTTGCACAAAGTGTTAGCAATGTGGAAAGTCCATGTGAGGGCCTTATCCAAGCAACAGACTTTCCACCAGCCTTCAGTATATCTCCATCCAGTTTTAGTGCGTTTGAGGGCTCAGACCTCAGTGACCTAATAGGGTCCATCAGGACCTCAGTGAAGTAAATTTTTAAAGTAGTATCTTGTTCATCCCTCAAATCTTTTTTTTTTTTTTTAATTTACTGGAAAGATCTGCAGAGAGATCTTCCATGGATGGTTCACTCCCAGGAGCCAGGTGCTTCTTCTTGGTCTCCCATGTGGGTGCAGGAACCCATGTACTTTTATCTGCTGCTTTCCTAGGCCCATGGGCAGGGAGCTGGATGGGAAGTGGAGCAGCCGGGACTTGAACTGGTGTTCATGTGGGATATTTAATAGTTTCTAACATCCACCTGACATCACGAAGCTTTAACTGTTTTGTTAGGCTATTCCAGTTTACCTTAAGAGTTAACAGGGGTTGAAGGAAGTGTCTTAAGAAGCTGAAGGTTGTTAAGGACAAATTACCCAGCTGCCCATTGTTAGAAAAACCATCCTGCAAGGGAGAAGTCAGCATTGTAGTGCAGCGTGTGAAACTGCTATTTGCAATGCTGGCATCCCATACGGGCGCTAGCTTGAGTCCCAGCCTGCTGTGGTTCCAATCCAGCCAGGGCCTTTTTATATCCTTACTAGCGTGGGGAATGTTCGGGGAGGGAATACGAAATTGCCCGAGTGGATGGGCCTCTAATGGCTTTCTCACTGGCCTTGGTAAACCTTCGTCTCTGGTGGCCAGGTGTTTTGGGGAAGTGCATGGGGTCAGAGAACAGGAAGTGTAGTAACACTGGTTGGACTGGTCTTGTGGAATGCAGCAGTAAGTCCTTGGCTGAGGAATGACACGTCCTGGCCTGTGATTTTATTCAAGACATTGACAAAAGGATCAAGACCGGAGAGATTTATAGCCGGAGGTGAAGGAAATGACTAAGGCGAACTTGAATATCAAGATCGTTTGCGTGTCAAGTGTGAGTAGATTGTGGACCAAGCTGAGTATTAGACCACGGATGAGGCTTAGGCTAGAAGCATGAAAAGCAGGCTCTCCTAAATTTCCTTAGGGAAATCTTTATCAATGAGCTGCTGAGTCGCTTCCCCAAGGTTACAAATCGATGCAGTTCACCCCCTTGGGGACACAGTTTGGTGAAAAATCCATCACACGGAGAAGCTATAAACACTGCTCCCAGCCTCAATCCGGCCCAACCCCAAATCAAAACGCCTGTTTCCTTATCTACCGAGACTGCAGGCTGCACACACTTACCCGGGCAAGAATCCCACAGCCGGCTCCGAGGGCGGGGCCCGCACGCACCTGCGGCGAGCCAGTCACAGCCTGGCGCGCAGGGGCGCACGCGCCACATCCCGGGGAGGGGCCTCGTCCTTCACCCAGTCTCCGCCAAGCCGCCGGCCTTCTCCGGCTCTGACTGGCCGCTCCGGCTCTGACATAGAAGGCCATCTCGGCCAGTAGCTGCGGAGCCGGCCGGCCGGCCTGGGAGACTGGCGGAAGTCCGTGGGCGAGGGGATCCCGCAGTGCAGGAGCCGCGCGGCCGTGGGGCGCGGTGGCCTGGCCGAGGCTGCTTGGCTTCTTCCGAAGATGACGCGCTTCGCCTTGACCGTGGTCCGGCAGTGAGTACCGCTCTCTATCCGTGTCCTGGGGGAAGGGAATCTCGGATTTACCATCCTGCTTGTCCCCGCTTGCTCGGGCAAGCCCTCGGGAGGGCTGGCTTGGCCGGAGCGACTTTCCTGGCTCTTGCTTTGGGCGCCCTCGTATCCATTCCTCCTCTGACCCCAGCTACGCAGGGTGAGGAAGGCGAGGGCTGGAGGGTCCGTGATGCAGCCCTCTCACCCTCAGCCTGGTGCCTTGACTGGAGGTGGCCAGCGGTCCCTGGGTACCTCCCGGGGTGCCGCGTGTGCTGCGCAGCGTGTTGCCGAGGGGTTGCGGGTGGCAGAGCTGCTGCTCCGTGGCTGGCCACCTCCCACTGCCTGCTCTGTCGCCTGTCCTGTGCCAGGGCCGTCAAATCCACAGGTGTACTGCTGAGGTCTGCTCCCCCGCCAGCCCCCTCGGACACACACACACACACACACACACACACGCACACACTTTTGACATGTCACCTGTTCTCCTTTTCCATCTCAGCACATACTGAGCAAGTGTTAACTGGGAGTGAAAAAGAGCAGTTTTTTTTTTTCCCTCTCTCCCCCAAGTGAAGAATCACTTGGGTTAGAATCAAGGCTCAGGAGTCGGGCAGCCTGGGCCCAGGTAACCCAACTTAATTTTAATTACCTGAAATACCAATCATCATGCTGGGCCTTCATTCAGTGAGGGGCGGGGAGGGTGGATTTTGGGGTTCTGGGGCTCACAGCCTGTAGGGGGCTCACGCCCGGAGAGCAGGTGGATGGGGCAGGCTCCAGGTGGGTGTTGAAGCCCTGGGGAGATGGGCCCAGGCTGTGATGTTGATTCTCGGGAAGGGTCCCCGGACACAGCAGACGGGCCACAAGGATATCCCTTTTTTACAAAACGTCCGAGCAACATGGCACGCCCACAGGAAAGGCCTTCTCGAGTGATGGGCGCCCACCTTCAGGTAGCGATGTTATCAATGAGCTGCTTTAAGGCCTCAGTGAGCAGTGGATTCCAGTGCAGGGGGAGGGAGGCACGGGCAGGGCACTGAGGGCAGCACTCCGCCTGAGGGACCTGTGAGGAGGCTGCAGTCAATAGTTGGCTGAAGTGGATCGTGTCGTTGAGTCCGTGCTGACTGCCTTATGCTCATTATTTATGTATTTTTTTTAATTGGAAAGGGAGATTAATAGAGAGAAGGAGAGACAGAGAAAGGTCTTCCATCTGTGGGTTCACTCTCCCAATAGCTGCAGTGCCAGAGCTGAACCCATCCAAAGCCAGGAGCCAGGGGCTGCTTCTGGATCTCCCAGGCAGGTGCAGGCTCCCAAGGTTTTAGGCCATCCTCCACTGACTTCCCAGGCCGTAAGCAGAGAGCTCGATGGGACAGGGTGCTGGAAGTGGAACAGCTGGGACAGAATGGTGCCCATGTGGGATGCCGGCACTTGCAGGCAAAGGATTAGTCAGTTGAGGCATCTTAGCCCCACTGACTTGCTTCTCTCTATGTTGTCAGTTCCTTTTTTTAAAAAAATGAGATTTATTATTTTTTATTTGAAAGGCAGATTTATAGAGAGGTGAGACAGAGAGGAGAAAGTTCTTTCATTCATTCACTGGTTCACTTCCCAAGTGGCTGTGACTGCGGGAGCTGAGCCCATCCATAGCGAGGATCCAGGAGCTTCTAGGCCTCCCACGTGGCAGCAGGGTCCCAGGGACTTGAGTCATCCTCTGCTGCCTTCCAGGGCCATAGCCAGGGTGTTGGTTACGAAGTGGAGCCACAGGGACACAAACTGGCACCCATATGGGATGCTGTGCCTGGAGCTGGAGGATTTGTGAGTTGAGCCATTGTGCTGGTCCGTGTCAATTCCTTCTTGCTGAATGCTAGTCATTGCTTTGGATAATAAGGCAAGCAAATAGTATTACCTCATGTCTAGTAGCTGTGTGTGTGTGTGTGTGTGTGTGTGTGTGTGTGTGTGTGTGTGTGTTTATAATGCTGTGCTGCTTGGTTTTCTGAGGATAAGGTTGGTACACCCCAGTATATCCTGAGCTGGGTATGTTACAAGTGTGTGTTCGCTTTCAAATCACTGAGAATACAAGACTGTATATTACTAAATCTTAAATTCTAATGGCAAGTGAACTAATCGGTGCAAGGGAATTGGGACATGAAGGATGCTTAGCCCCAGGCCTATAAATGGCCGGTCATAAGACTTGGCTGCCCTCGCCTCCACGCAGGGATTCCTGCAGGGTCAGGTGTTCTGTTTGGGAGCTGGCTCTCACCACACACTCTGAGAACGAGTGGTGTCATTCCCAACGCCTCTAAAACACATCCCTCTGACCTTTCCGCTCCCCCGTGTCTCAGGCCAGACGTGCGGAAGGGAGTAGATGAGTAGTAACGCTATTTTAGCTGTCTCCTTTTCCGCCTCCAGAACAAACTCACTTTTAAAACACGTGCTTCAGGCATTTATAGAAACCTCTCCCGTGAAGCTCATCAGAGCTGTAAAACTAAGCTTGGAAGTTATATTTTCGGAAAAACTCAGTTTTGGGGTTTTTACTCTAATATTTATGAAGTGGTTTGAAGGCAGAGAAAGATCCGGCTGCCGGTTCACTCCTGAAGTGGCTGCAACAGCTGGGGCTGAGCCAAAGCTAGAGGCTTCTTGCGGTTCTCCCACGCGGGTGCAGGGTCCCAAAGCTTTGGACCATCATCGACTGCTTTCCTGGGCCACAAGCAGGGAGCTGGATGGGAAGCGGGGTAGCCAGGATTAAAACCGGCGCCCATGTGGGGTCCCGGTGCGTTCAAGGCAAGGACTTGAGCTGCTAGGCTACCTTACCGGGCCCAACTCACATAGTCAGCAATCAGAACAGTTCTTTCTCTTTCTCTCCCTCATCTTCGTCACATTTGTTGATTTTCCTTGCAGTGTTTTCTTTGTACAGACCTGAATACGTGATGTTTTACTCCTTGCTAAAGAGGAAGCGGGCTGTGCTATTATCTTCTCTACATAAGGATATTCTGCAATTTTTCTGCTTAAGTCATGCTAGTGTCTGTATTTATTTTCTCTTTTTAGAGGATAGTTACATGACCCATTGGATAGATGTATTTACGTTCATTTTTTTAAAGCCATGGTTAAGGAGAAGAGCTGCTTGCTAATTGACATTTGGGTTATTGGCGGTCTTTGGCTATTAGGAGTTAGACTGTGGACGTGGCCCTTCGGTGCAGTGGTTAAACCACCCCCTGGGACCCTTGCAGCCCAGAGGGGGGTACCCAGGTTTTAGTTCTGGTTCCAGCTTCCTGGGAGGCCCAGGCACTTGATCCCTGCCCCCCAGGTGGGGCGGGGGTCCGACTCCTTGCTTATACTCACCCTGGCTGAGCAGGCGCTCACGAGTGAGCCAGTGGGTGGGCGCCTCGTCTCTATCTCTGCCTCTTAGATACTTTACCAAATATTCTTTTTATTTATCTATTTTTGTTTGAAAGATTTACAGAAAGGAGGAGAGACAGAGATCTTCCATCCATCCTTTTACTCCCCTCATGGCTTCGATGGCCAGAGCTGAGCCAATCTGCAGCCAGGAGCTTCTGCCAGGTCTTCCACACAGGTGCAGGGTCCCAGGGCTGTCCTCCACTGCGTTCCCAAGCTGCAAGCAGGGAGCTGGATGGGAAGTGGAGCAGCCAGGACGAGAACCAGCACCCATGTGGGATGCTGGCATTACAAGGCAAGGCTTAATTGCTATGCCCCAGTGCCACTGTGAAATTCTTACCCCGTTGTTATTAGCTTTGAATAAATTGTACTCTATGTGTTAGGTTGTGAAGTATTGTTAGATTATAAAAATATGGAGATCCACAATATCTTTATAGTATCTTTCCTTGTTGGTATTTTTTCTGTCTTCTCAAAAATAACATAGTTTGGGGTTTTTTCCTCTTTTTTCTGTTTTAGTGGAGAGACAAGATTGAACAAGGAGAAAATACTTCAAGGTTGGTATAAGCTGCTTACGATGTCAGCCTTCCCTTTGGTGTTCAAGCTCTGTGAACGAATATGGCTTGGTGGTGGGTGATAGTGGTGGGTGATGGTGGGGGATGGTGGTGGGTGATGGTGGGGGATGGTGGGTGATGGTGGTGGTGGGGGATGGTGGGGGATGGCAGGGGATGGTGGTGGTGGGGGATGGTGGGTGATGTGGGTGATGGTGGTGGGTGATGTGGGTGATGGTGGTGGGTGATGTGGGTGATGGTGGTGGGTGATGGTGGGTGATGGTGGTGGGTGGTGGATCATGATGGTGGTAGTTTAAGTGGGTGGGGTGCTGAGACAGTACTCACCCGGATTGGAATTGACTGGAGATGACAGAATTCAAGCCTTCTCAGCACAGAGGGAGGCTCCGCACAGCTCTGACCCCCAGGAGCAGAGCTCGGGACGGCGCTGGATGTGAACACACTTGCCAGTGTCTTTGCTCATCCTTTCTTTTGCACCTCAGACTTTCCTCCTGGAGTCTGTTCTCCGAGAGGACGGATGCAGAGTTGGCGGGAACGTTCGTTTCCCTCCATACAGGATTCTAGGCTGACGGCGATGTCAGCTTTGGAATTTTCTGGCTATGCTTGTTTCCATGAAGACCATGGTAGCCAAGTGGCACTTGCTGGAAGCTGGTCTTTCTTTATAACCGCATTTGAAATCATCTGGTAGCCTAGAGTTCTTCTTAGAATATCTAGGAGGGGTTTAACTATCTGTACACTGTGATTCCTTTATTTGTAGATTTACTTCATTTTATAAAGATTTATTGAAATGCAAAGTTAACAGAAGAGAGAAGGAGAGAAAGATTTTTCCACCCACTGGTTCACTCCTCAAATGGCCTCAGTGATCACTGCTGGGCCAGAATGAAGCCAGGAGCCTCTTCCCGGTCTCCCACGCAGGTGCAGGGTCCCAAGGCCTTGGGCTGTCCCCGACTGCTTTCCCAGGCCGCAAGCAGGGAGCAGCATGGGAGGCGGGGCTCCTGGGACACAAAGCAGTGCCCATATGGGATCCTGGTGCATTCAAGGCAAGAACTTTAGCCACTAGGCTACCATGCCAGGCCCCAAAATATGTATTTTTTTTTAAGTGAGGAAGACCGAGAAGAGGAGGGCAGGGGAAAAAGTGTGGTTCTAACACCGAGTATCTGGAGAGTGGATGTAAAGATGGCAACCTCCTGCAGGTTGATCCTTCTGCCCTGCCACAGGCCCTGGCAGCCCGTGAGGGGACGGGCAGAGGCAGAGGGGACAGCTTCAGTGGTTCTGACCGTGACCACTGTCGGATTCCCACTAGGCAAGCACTCTTGGGAAACATCTAACACCTCAGCCTTCCTAGACTTGTGGCCTGATTTGATGGTGTGTGTCGAGTTAACGTGGGAAACGATCCCAGGCAGCACTGCGGTGGCTTCTCTTGTCCCCGCTGTAGTTTGCATGTCTCACTGCCCGCTGTTGAGCGTGGTCGTCCCCCCTCTTCATGCCACAGGACAAGGAGTGGATGAACCACTTTCCGAAACGGGATTCCAGCAGGCGGCGGCTGCGGGTGCCTTTCTGCACGCCGTGAGGTTTTCACATGCTTTCTCCAGCGATCTCACCAGGACCAAACAGGCAAGTTCAGGGGCAGTGCCTTCCCGCCAACAGGTTAGAAGTCTCGGCAATCGCGTGGACTTCAGCAGAGTCTAAGACATTGCCTGCTGCCCCTCGGCTCCCCCAACACAACGCGTTCCTTCTAATAGCAAAATTAGAATAGTTTAGGAAAAAATGCCTTGAAGAATACAGGTAAGCTAACACGAGCAAGCAGGCCATCAGAAACAAAGGCATCAGGTGCCGGAGTGGCTGGGTGCGGTCGAGCCGTGTCGCTGTGCAGAACTGTGCAGAAATCAAGGACACGCTAGGAACGTCCGTGGGGACAGGTTGCTGTCGGAGTGATGCCTGGGGTGTTAAACAGCCAAAGCAACCAGTAAAGACTCCGTGGAAGCAGATTTTTAATTGAGGAACTGTGAGAGGTAAAATTTTACCTTCCCCCGAGGCAGCTAGCAAACATGGGGAAGCATGTGGAACGGCTGTTGGCAGACCTTGGACTTGGCGCTGCGGACCCAGGAGGAACGGGGCTTTGTCCTGATTTGGCAGCTGGGTAGGGAAATCCCCCCTGCACGCCCCTGCACCCCTCTTTTTCCCCATCCCTCCTCGGCCAGTAGTCTCAGTGAGTGGAGGAGGCGGAGCTTCTTGCCGTTTGGGGAGTTCACGGCTGAGCCCAGTGGGTAGGCTTGGGGATATGTAGGGATCCCCTTAACTCTTACTCGGTCGGGGGGTTTGCATGCAGCTCTTGGGAGAGTCGCTGGGGTGAAAAAATTAAAATATTCTGAAATGAAAATTTCACAATTTAGGACCAAGAGCAGACTAAACTACGGAAGAGGCCGGGGCCTGCTGAGACACAGCAGGACTTTGGGAGTGAGCTGTGGGAAGACGTGGACGGGAGCAGGAGGAGCAGGGTCTCGAAACCCGGGCGGCATCGACCTTAAAAAAAGTTATTTCAGATACAGGGTCTTTAGTCAGGCTTTCTAACTTTTTAAAAAATGACCCTCTTATGCCTAGGTGAACAGTAACGTTGGGAACTTGCACAGAGAACCATGCGCAGTCAACAAGAACCAAATGCTAGTTGTAGACCTACAAACAGAAGTGAAACGAGTGCCCAGTGGCTGGGCTGGGTGCCCGTTTAGACAGACTGGCCTGGGGAAGGATGGGCCAGGCGATGAGCCCTGGAAGGTTTCTGGTTTACACGGTCCCAGCTGTGCTGTCGAGTGCCCAAAGGCGCGAGGGCCGCGTGTCGGTGCCTGGAGTGTCTGTTCTGATGAAAGCTTATGTACCAGAGCGGGCTGGTCTAGATCCACGAAGCTCTTGGCTCAAAAATAGGTGAGAAGAAAGCATCAAAATCAGGCGAAAGGGGGCAGAGATGCACTATGCCCTCTTGGCATTTGAGCAAGAAAAAAGTGATTTTTTTTTTTTTGGTAAGAAACTTGTTTTTGTTTTTAGACTATGCATGGTATTTTGGAGAAAAGCAAATTCTGCAAAGACATGACAGTGAAATATGATTCCAGACTTCGAGAAAGGGTGAGTGGCATTCTGACAGGCTGTTCTTTGCCGTTGACGGGCAGGGATTGGCACCTCCCGCCCCCCACCGCCCCGTTTTATCACGTGACATGAAGTGGCATTTTCTCCTTATCTCCCAAGCAAACGGCTTTATTATGCCCATTTCCCATCCCAGTTAGGAGTCGGCGTGGAGCTGTGATTTAGCCAACGCCGCAGTGAGCAGTGTCAGAAGTAAAGCCTGAACGCCGTCCCTTCTAGAACAGTGTGTTTATTCTGCATGTCGTGCCGGCAGTAGGCTCGCCAGGATCCGTGCTGCAGCTGGGCACAAGTGTGGCGGGCAGCTGGGCGCAAGTGCCCCGGGCAGCTGGAGCATTTCTCAGGAAGTGCTCTGCGTGCCTTGCATGTGGTCCCTGGTGGAGTTCAAGCCATATACTAGAGTGAGTGCCAGTGAGTGACATGGCAGCGTGCAGAGGCACACTCTGTCCTGGAGAACCAGGGCTCAAATGTGCTCAACAAAATGTTCTCAGCTCCTGGGGACTCCGAGCAGGGTGGGGCATCCCACGAGGAACAGGTGTTCAGACCGGAGTGGACCTCTGCTCCGCGCTCAGCTGCGTCGATCCCCAGGTGTATGTGCGAGAGTTTTTCACTTAGATTCTTTCTCTTTCCTTCCTTCTCTACTCCCTCCCTCCCTCCCTTCTCTCTCTTCTCCGTCCATCCTTTTCTTTTTTTTTTTTGAACTGTTAAGCTGCAGATGATTTTTATCTTTTCATTGCAAAGGCAAGAGTTATGGAAATAGAGGAGAAAGCGTTTCCATCTGCTGGTTCACCCCTCAAATGGCCACTGTGGCCAGAACTGGGCTGATCCGAAGCCAGGAGCCAGGAGCTTCTTCCAGGTTTCCCACTCGAATGTGCAGTCCCTAGGGCTTGAGCCGTCCTCCATTGCTTCCTCAGGCCGTGAGCAGGGAGCTGGATAGGAAGTGGAGCTGCCAGGACACGGACCAGTGCCCGAATGGGATGCCAGGGCCACAGGCAGAGGCTTACGCATAAGCTAGGTTCCAGGACATCCATCCGGATCTCCCACATGGGTGCCAGGGGCCTGAGTTACTGGGGATATCATTTGTTTCCTGCCAGGTATGTTATCAGGAAGCTGGATTAGAAGCAAGGAGTTGGGGCCAGCATTGTGGGGTAACCAGTGAAGCCTCTGCTTGAGACACCTCGTCCCATGTGGGTACTCTGCTGCACAGCCCCACCCCTGCCCTCACGACCTTCAGTAATGTTCTCCCATAAGGCCTGCTCAGACACAGTGTGCAGCTCCAACCGGTGACGCTGCGTCTTCTCAAGTTCAAGGCCCTGTGGACTACATTCCCACGAGCAGTTCAGAGGGAGGCAAAGTCAGCTCCTTCCTGGGCTGTTTGCACACGGACTTCGCATCCATTTGCATAACCTTTATCTGTTGACCCATTGCAGAAGTACGGGGTTGCGGAAGGCAAGGCCCTCAGTGAGCTCCGGGCAATGGCCAAGGCGGCTGGCGAAGAATGCCCTTCCTTCACGCCTCCTGGAGGCGAGACGCTGGATGAGGTAGGTCGTGGCACTAGGCGCGGATGGCCACGTTGGTGCAGTGGCTGGCATCAGGAGGGCCAGATCTCCTTTGTTCTGTAGGTTAGCTGTTTGTAAGTCAAGGCCAGGTATCTTGAAAGTTCTGGATGTCCAAGAGCATGATGTCGTGTCTTTGCTTTTAAGTTATCTTGTCTTCCTGGTAAGTTGGCTGGTCATCGCTGGTAACGAGTTAAGGAAATGTGTCCTCAGATCATTCTTCTAAGAACAAGCCCTTGGGGGCTGGTGTGTTGGTGTTACTAACGGGTGAAGTGGCGTCAGTGATGCAGGGAACAGGTGCTGGTTCCTGCCCTAGCTACTCCACTTCGGGATCCAACTCCCTGTTGCTGTTTGTGCTGGGGAAGCAGCCAAGGCTGGCCCACGTGCACGGGGCCCTGCCACTCACGTGGGAGACCCCAGTGAAGTTCCTGGGCTTTGGACTGGCCCGACACTGGCCATTGCAGCCATCGGAGGAGTGAACCAGTAGATGGAAGATCTCTCTCTCTGTATCTCTGTCTCCCTCTCTCTCTCTGGCTTTCAGAATAGTTAAATACATCTTTAAAATATAAAAATAAACAAAAGTCCTTTGAGTGTGAGGCAGTGCTGTGAGCCACGGCAGGTGCAGCTCTGGTCCAGGCTGGGTGGGCGGACCGCGCAGGAAGCAGAGTACTGGGAAGCGTGAGCTCTGCAGCCTCCCGCCTCTGGGGGGCGCTGTTCAGTGATGGTATCACGGCATCTGCGTGCCTGTCCTTGTTAGAGAAAGATCACAGCTCTGCCAGCTGTGAAGTGCTTGGTCAGGGTTCCCCAGCCAGCGCTGTCTCCTGGCTCTCTGTTGGCCCTGTGGAGGCCGTGAGTCAGCGGTGGGGAAGCGTGTCTGCCTGCCTGGGTCCCCAGCGTGCTCCTGGAGGGCTAGTGGGGCACCTGCTCGTGTGTGTCAGCTGTTTGTGTGGTTCTAAAGCCGGTCTAGAGAGACACCCCTCGGCTGTCTTCCATCCACAGGTTCACTCCCCACACGGCCGCAGTGGCCGGAACTGGGCCAATCCGAAGCTGTGGAAGCTGGGGGCTTCTTGGGCCATGCTCTGCTGCTTCCCCAGGCCGCGAGCAGGGAGCTGGATGGACGGAGAGTGGAGCAGCCGGTGTCCGCAGGGGCTGCCGCGCTGCAGACGGGCTGGGTCTGCTGTCAGCTCATGGCCTTCACCTGCCATTGCTTTCCTTCCAGGTGAAAACGCGTGGGAAAGACTTCTTTGACTCTCTCTGTCAGCTCGTGCTGGAAGAAGCGAGTCAGAGAGAGCAGGTTCACGAACCAGGGGCGCCCAGCCTGGAAGCCTCTCTGGCCGAGAGGTTCCCTTGGGCAGCAGCGCACGGGCCTGCCTGCAGCCAGGGCCAGGGTGGCAGTGATGCTCCCGGCCTGGCAGCCAGCGTCCTGGTCGTGAGTCACGGGGCGTTCATGAGGAGCCTGTTCGGGTACTTCCTGACGGACCTCCAGTGCTCCGTGCCGGCTGCTCTGAGCAAAGCCGAGCTCACGTCGGTCAGTCCCAACACGGGCATGAGCCTCTTCTTCGTGGACTTGGAGGAGGGAAGAGACGCCAGGCCGGCCGTGCAGTGCGTCTGCATGAACCTTCAGGATCACCTCAACGGACCGGGCGACACCCACTAGGGTGCCCGCCTCCCTCGCGGCCTCGTGCCTTGCGCGTTCTTGCTTCATTTCTGTCCTCTGCTCTGGCTGCTGGGCGGAGCTGCGCAGCGGGCTCCGGGGCTCCAGGGGGCTCCAGGGGGCTCCAGGGGCTCCAGAGGCTCCAGGGACTCCAGGGGCTCCAGGGGCTTCAGGGGCTCCAGAGGGCTCCAGGGGGCTTCAGGGGCCAGCCACGCGGCACTGGGGAGCCTGGGCATCTTCCGCCACCGTTTGACCCGCCCACTCAGTCACATCCCTGTAAGTGGGTGCAGGTGCCTCACTGGTGCAAGTTGGGGGATTCTTTCTTTCTTTTTATAAATCTTTTTTTTTTCTCCCTCAGTGGCTGGAAAAATCTAGCCCATTTTATTGACTTGATAAGACACTAGACTTTTTTCTTTTCTCACAACTCCAGCCAGGGTCTGGCATAAAAAGCCGCGTATATCCTTCCAATGGAAAAATCACTACCACCATCATTTTATGTAAAAGAACATGATGAAGTGACACCGATTTTTACGCAGAAAGGAACCATTGGAGTGCTTTTTATTGCAGGGCTGGGGTGAAGTGGGCTGCTCAAAACGTGGGCGCACGTAGCTGTTGACTGCGGAATGCTCTCCTTGGGAGAAGGACTCACGGCATTTGATTGACAACATGATAGAGCGGCAGATGGCAAGAACAGCTTCTTCCGAACGGAACGTTGCCAAGAGGACGAGTCAGCAAAAGCCAGAAAGAAAAGTGTTTCCCTTAGAGGGCAGAGGAAAAATAAAAAGAAAAAATCACTCCCGGGAAAGCCAGTGGTTAATACGGCACGGTGCTACGGATGCTGCGACCGCTGCCTCCAGCAGATGGCGCTGGCGGAACTCGGTCCTTGGGAAATCCTGCAAGTGGAGGAGCTGGCAGCGTGGCTGCCTGCATCACTGCGTGGACGAATGCCGCGTCTCAGCCAGCAGGACTCATGCTACACGGACCCATTAAGGCGGGAACCAGGTGTGATCCACATTAACCTCGAGCCATCTGTCTCCGCGTCAGTATTACTCTTCCCTCATTGTGTCCAACACCGCTGATTCTGTCGGTATTAAAACAGGGCATGTGTTTGAGCCCTAAACTCAATCCACTGAGAAGGGCAAATGTGGTATCCGCATTCGCAGCACCCAGAAATAGAGAAGTTTTTATGTAAAGAAATAGAGCCGAGTCTTGCAGTCTTAGCTCCGCAGCGGCTCCAGTGCAGTGGTTCTGTGTGCGGGCACCTGCTCCTTGGGTCTTGCCTTGTGTGTGTAAGGAAAAAAGGACTTTGCCAACGCTTTAAAAACAGTATGGTAAATATCAGGATGTCTGTTTGATCTCACATGTTTGAGCACCATCTCTGTTGACTGTATGTAGCCTTAGTTCATGATAGCCACTATATTCTATGGAATAAATGCAACATTTTGTTTCCTTCTATGGATTTTTTTCTTAAAGATTTGTGTTTACTGGAAAGGCAGAGTTACACAGAAAGGAGAGACAGATCTTCCTCTGGGTCTCCCACATGGGTGAAGGGATGCAAAGGCTTGGACCACCCTTGATTGCTTTCCCAGGCCACAGGCAGGGAACTGGATGGGAAGTGGAGCGGCCGGGAATCAAGCCAGTACCCACAGGAATGGCGGTGCTGCAGGCAGAGGCTTAGCTGACTACACCACTGCACACCCCTTGCTTGTGGGTGCACTTTTCTGTAAAAACAGTGCTGCAGGGAACAGCCGTTTGCATCAATGTTTGTATTGGTCAAAAAGCACGCATCTCCACATTTTACAAAGCCCAAACAGCTCTTCAGGATGGCTGTACTGACCAGCCAGCAGTGCCAATGGCATTCAAAATTCCTATGTTAACTTTTTTTGAAAGAGTTACAGAAAAAGAAACTGCTTTCTGGAGGGGAGATAACCAGAGCCCTGGAGATGGGGCACACGTGGCCTGAGCCAAGGACTCTTCCCAAGGGACTGCCTTGGCAAGATCACACGTCTCAGTGGGGGTCACCCTGGCTGCTCTATGGAATTCGAGCGGTAGGGGGCGCCACAGGAGTGTAAGGTGGGAAGCTGGAAGGGGTGACAGCTGGGGTGGAACCGCCTGCACCAGATCAGACCAGTAACAAAGGAGTTGGGTGTTGAATGCAGAGTAACTAAGCACACATGGACGCAGACATTCACCCAAAGGCTCCGAGTGGCAGGTGTCCGTAGATCCTCTGTTCCACCCATCCAAGCCCTGTCCCTGTTGCCTGGACCTGTTAGACTGAGTGCAAGCCCAGACTGGGGGGAGGGCGGGTTGAGCAGGTGCTTCACTGGCAGGCTTCCCCGCCAGCCTCAGCGTCAGCGTGGTGCCTCTGCCGGCCCTTCCCCAACCTCAAGTCTCCCTTGCTGATCCTCCTTCCCTCCCCTGCTTACCCATCTTTATTTTGGGGATGCAGGTGCTCCTTTACTGCTTAAACACACACACACACACACACCCTTTAATAGACTATTGGACCTAACATTTTTGTGTTTTTCTGAGTATGTGAAAAGCTTTTTGTTTCAATGGCAGAGTGATAAGAGAGGGAAGAACAGCCAGAAAGAGAGCTTCCATCTGCAGGTTCACTCTTCTAACGGCCTCAGTGGGGTTACGCAGGTGGGAGCCAGGTGCCTGAAACTGCATCCTGGTCTCCCATTTGGAGTGCAGGGGGCTGAATGGGAAGCAGAGCAGCCGGGACGCAAGATGCTTGTTACAGTGTGGGGTGCTGGCATTGCAAGCGGCAGCTTACCCCGCTGCACAACACCAGTCCTGGATAATTTCTTCTTCAACAAAAAATGTAAAAAAGATTTATAGGAAAAAGGAGAGACAGAGAGGGAAAGATGTTCCATCTGCTGGTTTACTCCCTAAATGGCTGTAACAGCTGGAGCTGAGCCGATCCAAAGTCAGGAGCCAGGAGCTCCTTCCAGGTCTCCCACATGGGTGCAGGATCCCAAGGCTTTGGGCCGTCCTTGACTACTTTCCCAGGCTACAAGCAGGATGCAGGTGCACAGGCCTGCCCCCTGTGCCAGCCACTGATACAATGTTCAATTTTGCCCTCTCTAGATCCCCCTAGTGCTGCCCTCTTGCCCTCCTCTCCATTCCCAACATGCTTTTACGGAGTAATACCAAGGAGACGCTGACAGGAAGCTGAGATGCGTTTTATTTTTCAATGGAAGAACATAGGAGGGTTACTTTTTCATAAATATCTATAAATAATAGAGTGTGACAGGCAACAATATTCCAAATAAATAAATAAATATCGCCACTCACAAAGAGACACAAGAAGTGATGAGGGCTACCTCGGCTCTGCCCAGGTCAGCCCCCTCGTGGTGGTATTGAGTTTGGTGGTGTACAATCATTTCTCTACCAAGGTTCTTTTGGGGTTCTCCAGGTGGCTAGCAGTATCAAGGACCTCTACCAGAGATCAGACAGAATAGTATCCCCAACAGGAAATGGACGCCCTTACAGGTAATCTTTGCTAGACATGGCTATAGGAGACACGGTTTGGGTGATTTGGAAGAGGAACTGGCCCTTCAAGTTCAAATTCAAACCATCAGGAGGAAAACCGAGGTCCAACTTACACAGAGAGCACCTGTTTCTAAGTTAGAGGGTGAGGCGGTGTGGTTACACACAGTGGTGGCTGGCCGGAAGCTGTGGTTGGGATCTGCTTGGCTTAAGTATATGCTAATGTTTAGATGGGCATTCAAGTAGAGGTAGAAAGTTAGGGCTCCCTTGCGGACAGAACCTAAGTCATGGGGATGGCTAGTGTGGGGACAGACGCCAATCCCAGCTCTCGGGCGTCCTCAGCTCCTCCACTACCTCGGGCTTTGTTCTGCTCAGGATAAGAGAGCATGAACCAAGTCTTTCCCATGTTGCAGCGCAAATCCTAGCATGCTGGAAGATGTTCACGACCTGCTTCTAAAGCCAGCCCTTGGGCCAAATTCGCGAAAACCAAGCGGGGAGGCAACCTCACAGGCCAGCTGGGACAGAGCAGGGTTGTGGCTCGCCCTCTGACTCTGGCTGCACGGAGGGCAGCAAAGGGCAGGGAAGTTGGTTTTCTTGGTGTGATTTCTGACTCGGGCCAGTGAGTGCCCTGACTTTTGGCTTCTGATCTGCCTACCCTCCATTCTCCCCATCAGCTCTTCGTACAACACAGACTGGAGAGTAGCGTTTTCCACCAGCGTGCCCAATCTGGCAGGTGTGTGAACCCACGTGTCAACAGCATCAGGGCGGACAGACATAGGCGCAAGGGGGCGGTGTCGGTTCTCCCGGGAGCCAGCAGCTCACCAAGCCCCAGTGCTTTTCCTTAAGGCACAACTAAGAAGAGAGACCTCGGGAAGAGACAGATAAGGAGGGGTGGGGAGGGAGAGTCCTGTCTCTCCCTGCCATGAAGGAGACATTTCTCACTGACCTGTTGGAGTTCCTGACTCAGAAAGGTGGGAGTCACTGGGGGAGGGATGAAGAAGGCAGTGAGACCCCCTGACGGGGCCCCCTAGGATGACTTTCAGAGAAAGAAGCAGCTGTTTCCACCCCACCAAGGCGGCTGGATCCTTAACAGTTTCGTTTGTGAAAAGAAGACTTAGAGAGGATCCTTTGCACAAGCCTAGATGAACCTGGGGAAGGGGCGGCACCTGTTCCTGCCCATCCCACCCCCGTGCACATTCACCCTCTGGCCTCTGAGCACTCCCATGGGGTCGCTGGCCAGCAGGCTGTCGTCTTCGGCGCTGGGTGCCTCCTGCGAGCAGGAGGCTGGGGCTGGGGTCATGCGGGGCCTGGACTTGAGCACGTTCAGCGGGTCCTGCTCCCAGTCCTCCTCCGCACTGCGGGTGTGCCTCCGAGGCCTGGGCGTGTTGAAGAGGATCAGCGGAATCTCGTTCCTCCGAGACAGGAACTGGGAGTAGGGTGGCGGATTCATGCCGGGCAGGAAGGGCCTCTTGGCCCGGCCTAGGCTGACCAGGAAGTCGTGCTCCGGAGAGTGGTAGATGTCATAGCCGGTCTCCAGCGTTCTCTGCTGGAACCTGCAGTTCTGTGGCTCGAAGTAATGCTGGGGGGCGGAGGGAGGACAAGAGGGGAAGTAGGTGAAAGCTGATGACTGTGGGCCCCCGGACCCCAACCTCCTCCCAGGGCCTTAGCCTGTGCCAACCAGCCCCGTGCGTTGCATGCTCATCTGTTGGCTTAGTCCCCATTAAATAGCAGTTTGGAATCTCCCAGATCCCCTTTGGGAAAGTGATCGTGACAGGTGCCCAAACACTGCATGCAGTTCCACCTGCCAGGGAGTAGGGGGCCTTCATCCCCCCAGAGCTGAGGCCACTGCCCGCACTCGAGGACTGGAGCCACACCATCACCCTTTTGGCTGTTTGGACTCAGCTCTTAGCTTGGGTTTGGGTCCTTGCCTGGATAGGGTTTGTGGGATTAGAGATAAGTGAGGTTGGTGGTGTCAGTGAAGCCACGTGGCTTATCGCTCCATGACAAGAACCTTGCCAAGTACTGACTGGTACTGGTATTAGTGATGGTATGCCATGGATAGTACTGGCTTAACTGAGAGCCTGTTAGGACCTTTCCGTGTGTTTTACTGAACTCCCGAAGTCCACGAATGAGCCACTTTTATCTAGATGCCCCGATAGGATAAGAAGATAAGGATTTATCTACTGAGCAGGCATTTGACCCTGTTGTTAGCCCAGCAGTCGGAAACCTGCGCCCCACATCCGGGTCCCTTGGTTTGATACCCAGTACTGCCTCCTGACTCTAGACTTCTTGCTAACACAGACCCTGGCAGGCGATGATGATGGTTCCAGTAACTGGATCCGTACCACCCACATGGTCTACTCCAACTGATAGCTCATAGCTAGGAGCTGTTGAACCCACTGATGGGAATGTTGAATGTTCTTTCTCTCCCTCTCTCTTCTAAATAAAAAAAAAAAGTTTTAAAAGTTGATCTACTCTGGCCAGATACTATTCTAGAAACTGGACCCAACCACCATCACAACAGATATTGTCTTATGAGATTTCTCTGAGTGTGTCTGGTGCCATCTCAAAGGCTTCTGAGATAGGCCAGCAAGCTTTGGGAAGTTTTGGGAAAAGCTTTGCTTCCCAGTCTGAATGGCCAGCTGCCACACTTGGGGCAGAGGCGGTAGTTCATTCAGGGTCTTTAACCACAAGGTACTGACCTGGTCATGTGATCCATTCCACCTCACTTTTTCCAAAGGAAAAAGCTGAAGTTTGGGAAAGTGAGGAGACTGGCTACAGCAGCAGCTGGTAACAAGACCAAGCAGACCCCGCTGGCTTTTCTCTTGCTTTAATGTACTTTATGGCATCTTTTTCTGTATCTTTATGACTTTACACACAGGAGTCTTTGCCACACACAAGAATAGGCACCCATTGACCCTGGGGGCCAAGGGACCAGATTCTAGGGCCAGACAGACTGCGTGGGTTCAGATCCCAGCTGTATAAATCTGAACTTTATAAGGTGTTCCCTGAGAACAGATCAGGGAGGAACCCCCCACGTGGAAGCTATCTCAGAAGAGTCTGTGTTTTGTCAAAGGGATCACTGTGTGGAAAGGCTGGTCCACACACACTCACCGATCCGAAGATGTTGCCTCTGAAATCCATACAGAGGTATCTCCTGCTCATGACACCTGTTATGACCACGAAGCCAGCATCCTCTGATCTGATCATCAGGGCACCTAGAGGGAAAACCCTCCCAGTCAGAAACTCAGGGCGCACCCAGTGCTCAGCCTCAGCTGTGTTCTGAAAGCCCACCTTTATGAGAGCTCTCTGGGGTGATGGTGTCACCTGATACTCTCTCCTCTCTCTCTCTCTCTCTCTCTCTCTCTCTCTCTCTCTCACACACACACACACACACACACACACACCTGCTGCTGCTTGCTGCACCCACTTGTATCAGGGGACACTCTGAACACCCAACCTTTTTTCACCTGTGTTGTGCACCTGTTTCTCTCCCTGCACCTGAGCTGTCTTCATCCTCCCAGTTTCCTGCCAAATGCTTCTTCATGTCTCTGGTCGTGCGCATGTCCTTTTCCAAACCTTCTGTTTGTAGGATTTACATCTGCACTGAGATGTCTTTTCCAGGTACTGCTGGCAGACAGAATCTGACACTCCAGCCAGCAAGCCATATAAGAGTCTGATACATGCATTTACGTGCATCAGTGCTCATCAAGGCATCCCAGAACTGTGTATGGGGTGGTCTCCCTCTTCCCCTCTCTGCTATGGAAGTCCCACAAAAGGGTGATCTACAGAGAGAAGGAGAGACAGGCAGAAAGATCTTCAGTTCCCTGGTTCACACCCCAAAAGGCCACAATGAGCAGAACTGAACAGGGGGAGACAGAGTGTTCTTCTTGGCTCTTTGTGGCTGTCCCCAGTCCTTCCTCTCAGGGTGGCTCCCATTGCCCATGCAGCCTCTCATGGTCATTCAATGTCTCCTCTCAAAAGCTGGTCTCCAGTCAGGACCTGCAGCCCATTCCCACCGCCCACACCTTAAATCATTGACAACAGCTTCAAGCCTGACACCCCTGCTGTCCATCCCCGCGGACACGTGCATTTTAACAAAGATTAATGACTAGCTACATAGATTAAACCTAAAGCTTCCTGGGGTTTTAAAATTTATTTCTTTGACAGGCAGAGAGACACCAGCTGAACATGAGGCCTGCTAGGGGTGGATGTGATTGCAATGATTCTGGTGTAAGTAATGAGGTTAGAAGTAGGCCCACAAGGAGAGAGAGAGAGAAAGAGAGAGAGAGAGAGAGAGAGAGAGGAGAGAGAGAGAGGAATAGAGCCCAGGCTTAGTCAAGGCAGCCTTAAGGGATGCTTCTGGAAAGTGAGACGGGGCGTGTAAGGCACAGAAGGCATCTACAGTGCCCACCCGTGGCTCTCAAACAGAGGGCCGATTCTGCGTCAAACCCTGAGGGCAAACGGGGAACCTGTCCAAAACCGACTGTTCTGGTGACTCTGAAAGTGGGAGAACAGTACATGCAGCAAATGGTGTTAGAGCTGGTATGCTGTAAACAGGACCTGAACCCAGAGCCGGACCTTGCACTAAAGCATTCCAAAAAGCTACATGAGTGTCCCAAGTGTGGTCTTAATGAGGACCACGCCTCCCCTCTTTGGAATGTTTGAAAGTGCCCTGGTGGTGGCAGAACATCTTACTCCAAAGGATAAAGAGGCGAGTGACAGTCTGTTCCCACTAGCCTGTCTCTTGGCTTCCAACAGAAATCATTACATGAATTAGACAAAATGAAGCCATGAGCACTAAGGACTCCGGGTACGGGGACAGCCTCGAGAAGGCCAGGGCAGCAGGAGGAGCCAGACAGCTCGGATTCTGGTCTCAACTCTGCCACTTTCTAAACCTGTTCCAGCTTGTCACCTCACTGTGAGATGCAAATAACCACAGCCACCCTGCCTACTTCGCAGCATCACAGCGTGTGCCTGATAGACTAACGGATGGCAACAGTGACCACTAAGTGTTGAGTGTCGTGTCAGGTGTGCGTCTCTGGCCAGCCCACACTTTGACAGTCATGCCGGCCTGATGCTGGGGGAGTTGGTGTGGGCAGCGTACACAACCTGTCCCAACAGGAAATGACGCTTCAAGGGGTGAAGAGAGCAACAGGTCACTGGGTTACAATACCTGTGACCTTGAAACAGCATGGGATTTAGGGTCAAGGTGATCTACCTGGTGTGACCTTGAGCCAGTGATTTGAGCTCTTTAACCTTTGCTTTTCTAATGTGGGTAAGGAAACTAAGAGAAACACCTAACACATTTGGACATGTAAGGCACATCATGAAATAATGTTAAAACTCTACAGAGCGCCATGTAAATGTTTATCACTTGGCCTATGACCACTTTGCCTCAACTTCTACTGTAAAAGGAGAAAATTCTACACTCCATCCTACCACCATAGCCAGCCAATGATAAATGCCAGAACAGATGTAAGTTTATGTGTTTTGAGCTCTTGGAGGGAAAGATACCTTGAAAGAGAGTTAAAACCTGAGGCTAATTCAGCCACTGGGACAGGAAGTTCCCATGGGACAGGCGAGGCGAGGGAGGCAGCAGGATCTAGAAAGCGATGACAACCTGGGGGTGTCTGGATCATTGCTTTTCTTGCCACCCAGGAGGAGAAGCTTGGCAGGCGGAGCTCCTTGCATGCACTCGCCATTACGGTCAGCCTGGCCTGTTCTACTCTGGGGGAATCCTTGCAGCAAGGCCTACCAGGATGCTAGACAAGCTTTCCAAGAGACCACATAACGCATCAATCTGCTATCCTGTATTTGAAAACATGTGCCCTTCTCATGATTCATGTAGCTAGTTGAAAGGTGAGTTTTGGGAGAGGAGAGAAAGAGAGAAAGAGACATCTCCCAGCCACTGATTCACTCCCCAAATGTCTACAATAAGTAGGTTTGGACCAGGCTAAGCCAGGAACTCCATCCTGGCCTTTCACCTGAGTGGTAGAGTCTAAGTACTTTGGCTACCATCTGCTGCCCTTCCGGGCACGTTAGGAAGGAGCTGGATTAGATGTGGAGCAGCTAGGACTAGGAGCAAAGTTCATATGGGATGCCAGCCTTTCAGACAGTGGCTTAACCCACTGCACTACAAACCTGGTGCCAAATCGCATCTAATCTTGCAGAAGAAAGCAGATTGACCTTCCCTGGAGAGGTAAAAAGTTGTGTTGTCTCCGAGTCTGAGATTGCTCTGGCAGGCATGAAGAGATGACAGCCTATGAGTCTATTGAAGAGTTTTATCTTCCTCTTCAGTATCATTCCAGACATGCTGTGGGTCTTACTAAATGCCCGTTACATAAAATGAGCTTTGGATGCACCAAGCGTAGCCAGATTTATTTCAGATATTTGATGTTCTACTCAACTCAGCTTCTAAGATACTGTCTGTCGGCTGCGTCCTTGGGTTCTGGAACCTGTCTGGACTTTAGGGAAGAACTGCCTGGCCTTCCGTTGTCTGTCTGTATCCCTTGAACCCTTGAGGTTCCCAAGGTTAATGGAGGTTTTGGCACCAGACTCCAACAGCACCAATTCCTAGCAGAATGAACGCGTGGCCCACAGTGGGTCACTGTGAGACACTTCCTTACTCTAGTCCAAAAATTAAAGAGAATCCTTTTTTTTTTTTAAGTTGAGCTGTGGTGAGTAATGTTCATTTTCCTGTACCCTCACAGTATTTTAATGTGTTCTAAAATAGACAACCCATCAGTACCCATATCCCCTCTCACCCCTTTAATCACGCTTACAGGTGCACTTGAAGGAGCAGCTCATCAACGGAATGCTGTGGGTTGTGAGCCAACTTCCCACACACCTGGTCATCTTAACCCAACTGGACACTGATTGGACATTCTTGAGTTCGGCAAGAATAACCACCAATCACACCAACCATTTGCAACACATAAATAAAACTGTTGGGCGAACGGATGCACGGACAGAGGAGGGCACTGCTGGTGTGCACCTGACCAGATGCATCCCGATGCAATCGGATAGATTCTTCCTGGAAACACCTAGGAGGCTGGAATACTGAAGCTCAAGGTTGGAGAGAGCCTCCTGGTATGATACAAGAATCTTGTTTGGAAACTTCGTATTCCAGAAATACAAAGTTTCTGAAAATAATCTTGCTGTCAATTGGTCAATCTTCTCTTTCCCCTAGACTCTTGGTCCTTCTCTCCATACATTTTTTTTTGGTTCCTTGGAGAAGGCAGAGAGAAAGTGGCTCCACTGTGGAAGAGGGGTTTGAGTTCTTTGTATTGACAGAAATCAGTAAATGCTAACTAGGGGGTGGCAGACTCTCCTGAGGTTAACACACACACACATAAACACACAAAATAGTTCCTGGGTGACAATATAATTGGCTCAATGAACAGTCTGGTCTAACCCAAGCCCTCTCCCAGTTGCCCATAGTGGACCACAGGGCAGCTCCCGTTCTCCCCTTGAAAAGCCCCTTACTCACTATAGATGGTCTGCTGGGGTGTGCCATCCACGTGGCCGTCCTTGTGGATCTGCAGGTGGTAGCTGTTCCTGGCGGTGGCCGTGTACAGGTGGGTCAGGCCAGTCCAGCTGGAGCTGAGCAGTGGGGAGGTGTCGGGGTAGGCGCGGACCCCATGCCAGCTGCACACACTGCCCAGGACACAGACCCACAGCCCCAGCCCAGCTCCCAGCATCACGCCTAGCTCTGAGCAACAGATGCTTGAGATTGAAATCTGACACTTCCTCCCTCCTGTCTCACAGAGGCTCTGCTGGTCCTCTTGCTTGGCCAGGAACCAGAGGGGCTTGAGAAGCCTAGGCTGTGTTCCCTCCTTTTGTGCCCCAGACTTTTAAAGGGTGGCCGGGTGACATCAAGCAGGAAGGACTCCACTGTCCACATCCTCTGTGTTGTAATCAGCCCATTCAGAGAAATGGCAAGGACTTCTGAAGTTCACGGAAGGCACAACGGTCAGTTACACACACACACACGCACACACACACACGCACACACACACACAGTTCCAAGCCAGTGCTCCAAAAAGTGAATGATGCGTGGGCAAAAGTTAATGTGTGACTCTGGCTGTCTGTTGACCTGTCCCATTTCCACCAGGAAATGTGAAGGCAGCCAGCGGTTCCGAAAAACATCCAGCTGCAGTTGTGCAGCCCGCTGGCCTGATGCCTTGAGTCTGCCACCTCATCTACTCATCTGGTTTTCTCTTTTAACTCCAATCAGCAAGGATGCATCTGGCGCTTTCTCAGTGTGCACCATTAGGTGGGCATCTTGAAGGACACAGAACTAATGGGACAGCATCAGGCAGCAAACAGTGCCTTTTAAGATCTCCCACCTTGTAGAGATATGTGAGCTGGAATACTGATACTGTGGCATAACTTGCAAAGCACCTGCAACTCCAGCATCCCATGTGGATGGTGGCTCATGTTCCAGATGCTCCACTTCTTTTTTTTTTTTTTTTAAATTTTAGTTGTGATGATGTTTACATAGTTGATTAGGGTCGGAAGGGTTGAGACTAGGGGAAAGTGGATGAGACCACTATTTCCACAACTTCCTTATCTTCTTCCTATATCTGGGGGGAAGTAGGAGACAAGGGCAGAAGCCACACCCAGGCTTCCAACCGCCTCACCACCCAAGGATGGCGCATGGTCACCCAGGGTCATTCCCAGTCCCCAGTGTGGAACAGACTCTGAAGGTTCTGTTCAAGTGGTTTTGATAGTTCTGAAATGCTTTCATTTTCGCAGATCCAAGAATGAGGAAATCCTTCCAAGGTCCACTGGCTGACACAGTCCACCCCCTGAGTCTCCACTCACCCAGAAATTTGCTGTTAAGCTGCTCTAGGGCAGTTGACCAGTTTGTTCTGCCCTTCTTCTGCTATGGTATCAGATATCCTTGCCGGTGCCAATGGACTGCCTAATCCTCCATGTGCATCAGGGTGTCCCGTCCACTGCACCCTCCTGAGTGAAGAGGAGCACCCTTTCAGACACATGCACCCCACTGTCAGATCACAGGTGCTGCCACTCTCCCCGTGGTGTGAGACCCATGGAGACCCTCAAAGAAATCTGTCTGAGGTGGTCCCAGACCTGACTCCCATGTCAACTGTCCCACTTCCGCTGTGCCTGAGAAAACAGTGGAATGTGGACCAAGTTTTTGACTCCCTGGTACCCATATGGGAGCCTGGAAGAAACTCCTGGCTACTGACTCACTGGCTCAGCTCTGGCCATTGTGGCCATTTGGGGAATGAACCAGTAAAAGGAAGAATCTCTCTCTCTGATAACCAAGTACTTACTGACAAGCAGACTTCCAGGGGTAGCTGTGTCCCAGGATTAGTACTTGGAGAAAAAGGTCCCCTCCCCATTTCATTCTGGGTTTTCCAGCCAAGCTGCTGGTTAAAACATGTGTGGGCCTTGTCTAGGGAGTTCAGGGCTGGATCACAATCAGCACCTGTGCCTGGAAGCAGCCTTTCCTGGAGTCTGGGGTGCGGTCTCCTCTGATACCTGGGTGGGGGATGAGAAGGCAGAACCAAGTCAGTTCCTACTGCCATCACCTACAAGGCACTCCTCTGTGACAGCTCAGATTGCAGGAGCTGGCAGCTAGGGTGGCCTTGGAAGCTGAAAGTGAAACACAGGATGGAAGCAGGCAACCCCATATCCACAGTTCCCTGGTAACTACCACAGCAGGTGCAGGAATCTGCCCTGGAATCAGGAGGATTTGTTCTAAAGCCGAGCGGAGGCTCCTGGTCCAGTCCTTGTCTTCTAGCAGGGCTGGGCACGCTGGGCACCTTGAATCCCATAGGTTCACCACATTCCTCCATCTCCTGATGCATTTTTCTCAGACTCCACAATGAGAGAAGATGTTAAGGAGGACTACCTCACTGAGATAATACTGAGATAGTTTGAAACGTTGGTGGTAAAGGAACTGAAGTGCTGTGGGGTGGTGGATGTGTGGCACAGCAGAGTAAGGTTATTTTTCTTGTTGAACTGTCTGGCTTAGAGTCCCATCTTAACTCCTAACTCCAGCTTCCTGCTAATGCGCAACCTGGGAGTGGGTGGGGGTGGGGGGAACAACAGGAGATGATCCAAGTAATTGGGTTCCTGCCAGTTATGTGGGAGACCTGGGTGGGGTGTCTGGCCCCTGGCTTCTGCCTGGCCCTGAATTTGGGGAGTGAACATATTAATGGAGGAACTCTCTTCCTTTTTTTTTTTGCTTAATAAATGCCAACAAATAAATATACTTTAAAGATACAAAAACATACTTCTGGTTGTCCAATTTTTTTTATCATACACATTTCCTGTGCACTTTTGCATAACCCCTTGTAAGTATGCTATTGAAGTAGTTTTGCACCAAGATCAACTATCTTTTAATTCCATTTTCTAAGATTTTTTTTTTGAAGATGTATTTATTTTACTTGAACGTGAGAAGATGAGAGAGCTCGAGAGAGCTCTAGCTGCTGGTTCTCTCAAACAGCTGGGCAGGTTTGAAGCTGTGAGCCAGGAGCTTCTTCTGGGTCTCCCACACGAGTGCAGGAGCTTGGCTCGGGCCGTCTTCCGTTGCTGTCCCAGGCCACCAGGGAAGTGGAGCAGCTGGGACGTTGTCTGTTGCCTCTATGGGATGTCGGTGCTATAGGCAGAGGATTAGCCAATTGAGCCATCCTGCTGGCCCCTCTGGAAGCCTTTTGAAGGGGCTGGATAGACAATCAATGCTGTACGTGCTGTCACGTGCAGGCAGGAGGCACAGTCATCTCCCGAGGCAGCTGCCTGATGATGGGAGCTGAGAAAAGGAAGGAACTGCAAAGCCTAGAACTTGAACACAGGTTTTTGTTGTTGTTGTTTGTTTATTTTAGGGCAGTGAAACTTGTGTATGCTACAGTAATGATGGATTTATTAACGACCTTAGGCAATCTGTAGAACTATATAACAGAGAGAGAACCCTAATATAAGCTCTGGATGTCGGCATAAAACAATATGTCAATAACTAAACAGACATCACATGAATGCCGGGGTTAATGTAGGGTAAGTTGTACACAGAATAGGGAGGATGTGTGTGCGAAGGTCTTGCCATTTTCTGTTCAGTTTTTTCCTTAAGTCCACAGCCGTCGGGAAAAACCAAGGCCCAGCTTGCACCTTGATATTTACATTTCTTGCAAATTAGTTCTCTCATTTTTCCCTGCCAGCAGTCTGTTCAGAGAGGCCCCACCCCTACTGCCACACTGCGAGTCGGTGTGACATCCAGGCTGCTTCTGAGGGACCAAACTGAGGCTCTCCATGGCCATGGGGGGTCGGGAGTTTGCAGTCTTCCACATTCCATCGCCTGTAGGCCATGTAGGACCCCGAGGTGTGCCTGTCCTGATCAGAGCTCATCTGAGGTTTCAGAACTTGGAGACTTGAGAAGCCTGAATCCACTTCCTTTTTTTTTTTTTTTTTTTGGTGGTTTCCTTCCCCTCCCAACATCTGCCAGCCGGGCTGACCACAGGGTCCTTTCGGCTTTGCACCAGCCTTTTGCTGGGAATCAGAGAATCCAGACAGAGCTGGGTGTCAGGAGCCATAGGCATCACCATTGGGCTTGTTGCTGTGGAGAGCAGGAATCAGGCCTCGGGTCGTGTGGCCAAGTGTGGTGGGTGGGAGAACCGGCCTTCTGATGCTGATTATGGAGTCCCTTCCTACTCTCCACCTGGAATTGGGTCACTGTGGCTTGGGTCCACCTCATTTCTAACAGGGTGGCTCACTCCTCTGCTTGGCCTCATTTTGCACCGCTTGGTCATCGGATGCTATGGAGACAAAGGAAATTGCTTGGGGCCGTGGGAGGCCTTCCAGTCCCCACCTCTCTGTCCTTGCCCTGTCCTGGGGACAGGAGGTGTGGCTTTCCATGGCTTCCCTTGCCCTCTTCTCTCAGGCATCACTCCTACTTGTGTCCTCAGGGAAGATTCTGGAGTCATTTTTTGTTTAATGATTTCATCTGTGGGGCAGTGATCTTACCTTAATCAACTCACACAGGGGAAAGACGGGCCTTTGACACTCTTGTCCAGGCAGTTCTCCTCTAGTCAGCTTCTTCTCATCCATAGAGATTCAGTCGAAAGGGCTGCTTGTCCTGACTTACCCAGCTCTGGGTCCAGGCCACTCAGCCCCTTCAGCATGGCTGTCTGAACAGTTCTATTCTCATTGTCATTTGCAAAGCCAGAAAAACCTGGCTGCTAGAATTGAAAGGATCTACTTTTTTTTTTTTTTTTTTTTTTTTTTTACAAATCTGTGTCTTGGCTGAGATATTGGACTCACTTCTAGAAACTGCCATTGCCTGGCAATATATCACACTTTTTTCTCTTATGAGAAAAGGAATATATATTTTAAAGTTCTATGCTAGAACCTTCTTGATTTGTATATCCTAGAAGTTTCCCAGGAAACTTCCCAGTGTCAGCTGCCCAGTGGCCTTGATGCTTTCAGTCTGTCACCCATAGATTTCTGAATATCTCATGACACACCAATGTTAACATTTGCTAGCAGTTAAAACTCTGACTAAGCTACCTTCAAGTGCCTGGGTTTGCTGCTCAGCTTTGGCTCCTGGTTCCAGCTTCCTGCCAACATGGAACCCAGGTGACAAGTAACTCTGTCTCCCACATGAGAGACCTGGGTTGAGCTCCACAGCCCTGGCCCCAGCCCCCATCCCGGCCCCGGTCCCAGTCCCAGCCCCAGC